CACATCGAGGGAGTCCCCGAGTCTGATTGCAATAAGCGCAACGATGTAAGGAAGGAAATAATCGGTGCCATGCTGCAGGCTCACTGGCCAAGACGGCTCAGGAATACCATAGTGTCTGGCTGCACTGTAAAGCTCCGACCGGGCATACTTGCTGTATAGTTGCAAAAGAAAGACCGTTTCTGGAGATTGAATGACCGGCATGGCTTAGCCATGCATCCAACGCTCGAGCACTGAACGGTTGATTGGGTCAACGGTCAAAACGGAAAAACGGAAAAAACCCGGAAAAACAACCCACGTCCCCGAGAACCTACAGGAACACGAAAAGGTTAAAAGGCCGCTGATGGTCTCAGGGCAAGGTGCAGGCGTGAGGAGCAGCGGGCTTTTCATACCAGTCGTATCGATGGTGCTAACTTCCTTCCTCGTGAGCGCTACCGTCACTCCCCTCACTTGCCATACATGTACATCACCGTGATGAACTGCAGGAGTGCTGGCTTCGATCCTTTGCTCACTAAAGAGATGGTGGCCCCCCACTTGACTGCAATGGCTTTCAACTGCTCCACTGTGTCGGATGCCAGCTCCTGCTTGATGAGATCAAGGTAGGTCGCTTGGTTGGACAGCGTGCGTTCGTGTAGCCATGCCTTGAAGACCTTGTCCGTGAGACTGGTGGGAAGTGGCACCTGTTGACTTTTGGGGTTCCCTTGACGTAGAAGGTCCGAGTCTAGAGTGACATCCGGGGGAGCCGCCGGGGTCTTTCTCTTTGCTGGTCGTCGCTTAGGGGCTGGATCAGCCTCTGGAGATGGAACTGGTAGGGGAGGTCCTGGCTGATCTGAGTTGGCCGCATTGATGTAGAGGGACTGGTCGGAGCGGCCGGGCGTGGGGGTCCAGGACGCGGCATTGGAAGGGGACGAGGATGGCAGCTTCTTATCCGGTGTAAGAGTGATGCCCTTGCTCTTGTAGCGCTCCAGCTGTTGCTCCAATTCGGCAATTTTGTGGCGAGTGAGGTTCTCCTGCTTGGCGGGCTGCAAGGACTCCATGAGATCCACGATTTTGATTGCAAGTGGCTCCATAAACTGCATGGCCTCATTGCGTTTGTCCGGCGCATTGTCCACGTGGAGAGAGCGAGCTGTCCTGTCGATGTCGACCTCCCTGCCTCTCAATGCTTTGAGAATGGATGTCAATAAGACTGCCTCGGCTATCGTCTGAGCCATGACTGGTGTGCTGTAGCGGCCATTTGACAGTGCTCGTAATGCGTGATCTTCTGCTCCTCCTCGAAGAAGTCGCGTGAGTGGAAGATCCAGGATAGCTGTTCCTGCGAGCCCGACTCTTCTGGACCACTGAGTGGGCTGAACGTGACGGTATAGCTGCAAACCACGGACCTCCGTCTTGTCTAGGAAGATGTCGTCAGATTGGAAGGTGCTGGGAAGTAGCTGCGAATATCGAGGCTGAGTGTATTGCGTTGCATCACCCTGGCCTAGAGGTGCCCGAACTGGAGGTTGAACTGGCGGTGCGGGTGGTGGAGGACGAGGACCTGTCTGCATGTGGCTTGTTCCACCACCGTGATAGTTGTAAAATTGACCGGGTGGTTGAGGAGGGAACTGATGAGCCATCTGTGGAGGCCGAGGGGGATTGACGCGGGACGGTGCTTCTTCGCGAAGTTGATGTTGCAATGGTTCCGTCCGATTGGAGCTGAGATATGCCTCCTGCTGGGACTGCGGAACTGACCATGACGGAAGATACGAGGGTCCCGGATGCGAAGAGGAAGAAGGTGCCGATGCCGCCGGCCATGAATAGCTCCACTGAGAAGCCATCACGAGATAGGAGGTTGCCGGCCACACTGCTAATGGGTTAAACGCTAGGGGTACGCCCCACATTTCCGAGACAACAACCATTGCCAAAACGACACCCGAATTCCGACCGGGCCCGGGACAGTAAGAGACCAAAAACCGCGTTAGCTACACAAAGCTTCAAAAAAAGGAACCCTGCAGTAAGGTGAGCACATGCTCGGATGAGGCTCTGGCGTGCACTTTTTGTCGCAAAATATCGTCGGTAGTCGAAGACGGCAGTGTGGCGAAGTATGCTCTTATTCGCAATGAAACATCATTAATTGTCATTGGCTACAACAGCTCCTGGTGCAGGTTCACGAGCGGAGGACACCAGTGGGTGGTTTTGCATCGGTGGGCCATGCGAGTCCAACGATCTGGCTTGCCTCCGGGATCACCATCCAACACTTGCCCGACACATAGTGGATGACATCAGGACGTTCACTGGAGTCCAGGGCCTCAATGCAAGCTTGCTCTCCTCCCGATCGAATCGGCTGACAGGTGCCAACAGCGCGTCCGAACAACAGCAATTGAGCCATGTTAAAAGACATGCTCCAGTTCTGGCTCATCGTGCGAGCGATTTCTTCAGCGTCGTAGTCGGCGTGTCCAGTGATCTTCCAGCCCTGGGCATAAAAGGCTGGGCACTCCGAGGAGTGCTGCCGGGAAGGATGGATCTGTCGGCTCCGCAGGATGCCGCGAGTACCTCCAACACTGGAAGCGTGAGTCCAGAGCAGCATGGGTCGCGTCTTCGTCGGTTCTTTGAGCCGGACTGTGGCCCCAAGATAAGGGACGGTCAGCATGAACCAGTGCGGGGTGATCTTATAAAAATGATGATCCGGGTTGACCTTCGCATAGTTCAGGGTGGAGTGCTGAGACGGTATGCCTGCTGCATTCAAGGTCGCGGCCACATAGCTCATCTGCTCCTGATTGACTGGGATCCCATCACGAAGATATGGTGCGGCCAGCACCTGAAGTTCGTTCCTCCAGGGATCAGACTCCGGGTTGGGAAGCAAGACCAGCGGTGGATGTGCCTGCGGATTGGGGCGTAGTTGCATGCTCCTCGAGGACGACCCCATCCGGGTGAGCTCCTGCGGCCTTGGAGGCTGGAGCTGATGGGGCACTGCTTCTGCTACGCGGAAGGGGAGATCGATTGCTTCTCGGTCGTCGGGATGAAGCTTTAGTTGCCGTAGGTGCCCGGGATGAGGACTTGGCTGCTGTGGGCGCCGGCGCGGTAGCATTCGATGCTGCCGTCATGGTGTTGTCCGATGTTGAATCCCTTCGGGAGATCGGAGGTGGCGTCCGGGAGCGAGCTCGGCCTCGCCGCTGTGGGGGCACTGACTTGGAGTAGGGGGAAGCGTTGTGGGAACGTGACCGGTCTCCTTCCGTCGTGTGGCGTGACCTGGATGGTGGGTTGGGCGGTGGAAGCATCTGACCTGATGGAGTTGCCGTAGGGATCGGTGCGATAGGGGTCGGTGCTGTGGGCATAGGTGGGCATGCTGTAGTTGAAACTGTCGGGGTAGTTGGCGTCATCGGAGTCATTGGTGTCATCGGTGTGGCCGGGCGTGCTTTCACCAGGATTTGCGGCAGTGGGCCAGCTACAGATGCAGGCCAAACCTCCAAGGTAGGGATCGATGCCGAGGCGTCTCCGGGAGCAGGAGCCGGGACCGCTGCTTTGGCAGCCCTTGAGGCGTTGGACACCTCGCAAGATATGCTAGAAGCTGGTGTCACAAGCGTACTCCTGCTTGGTGATGCTGACTGGTGCACCGGAGACCTGGGCGGCGTAGGGCCGGCAGTGTTCCTGGATGCCTTGGCCATGGGGCCTGCCGAGTTCGACATCGGACCTGCGTGGGGGCGAGACATCTATTGCCAACAATTGCGAGCCAAGAGCAAGCTGACGGCGTCGTGATTTTCCACCTGATGTGTCGGGTAGTCGGATTGGTTGTCAAACAGTTGGTCTGACAGAAACGGTTCACGGAAACAGTCTGGGGTGCCGGAAGGTCAGGGAGAAGTCCAAGCCTGTATTGATAAGATCAGCTGGAACAGTCAAGCGTCACGAGCGACAAGGTCCGGTAACAGTCTGTAGAAATGTCTGTGCATGAGTCGGAACAGATGCCCACAACAGGGATCAAGACACTGACCGAAGCCCGGACGCAGTGCCTAAACACACTTGATATGAGACGGCAAAAGCTGACAATGTGCACCACCATGCAGGTACAAGCTGTTTGAAGGTCTCCGGCAGGGCAATGGAGTTTCGGCACCGAGGAAGTCTAGACATCTTTCGCTAACGCACTCTCCTCTTCCGGACCGCCAGCAGTGCGTTAGTTACTCCATGCTAGATCGTCCAAGGCGGTGGCGGCCGACTCCAATAAAGAGAAAAACGCGACCGAAGAACCCCTTAGGAACAGGGGGGCCACACACACACACACACACGCACGCACGCACGCACGCACGCACGCACGCACGCACGCACGCACACACGCACAAACACACACACACACACACACACACACACACACACACACACACACACACACACACACACACACACACACACACACACACACACACACACACACACACACACACACACACACACACACACACACACACACACACACACACACACACACACACACACACACACACACACACACACACACACACACACACACACACACACACACACACACACACACACACATGCACACATGCACACATGCACACATGCACACATGCACACATGCACACATGCACACATGCACACATGCACACATGCACACATGCACACATGCACACATGCACACATGCACACATGCACACATGCACACATGCACACATGCACACATGCACACATGCACACATGCACACATGCACACATGCACACATGCACACATGCATACATGTGACATGCATACATACATACATACATACATACATACATACATGTTTGTGCATGGGATCGTAGCAAGGCCGATTTTACGCAATGCAACCATTTTGGCGGAGCCAAACGTCATGGGTTTGGGAAGCTGTTCAAACAGTTCCAGCATTCAAGACCAGGCCCGTCATGATTCTGTATGCACCAACAACTTACAGGCTACCCTGCTCCTTTCAGCACTGCTACATGCAAGTTTACAAGACCTGCACACACTTGTGTGCATTCCTGGACAGACTTGCTTGCAGGTACAACAACCCTGATGGATCGCTCATCATCGTGCCGAAGGAGGAGAGCGATTATAATGCAACTCATCAGGGCCCACCCGCCAGAATGGTTCTCAAAAGCCTCCCGGAACAGTGGCGCCTGCCAATACCCATCTTTTCAAAAGGTTTCCCAAGAAATTCAACTACCAAAGGAGAAAACAAGTGGGCTTTTCCCCGCTGAAGTCTGCTGGGACGTCCTTGGGAAGGTACGTCGGCCTGGCTTCAAACTACAAGGGCAACCAGAGGTGCCCTTTGGGCGAAATTTGGGTTTTTGCCTTGGTGATTGCAGGTGGCAACCGTTGAAGCCTTACGGGAACCCTGGGACAAAGTAATTTACGATCCGAAAAGCGTGTGCTTTTATTTCAGCCAGATTGATTTAGCAGGGACAGAAAAGCTATTGAATATGGAACCCGACTTTCATGGCCAGACTTAGCTTACAAATGTTCACGGATCTGCGAAAACTGCTATAGGTGCCTGGACAAGCCCCAGATTTGGCAAGCATAAGGCCCTAAGGCCTTAAGGGTCTAGTGGGTGATAGCTCATTGGAGGTCCATGCTGTTTGCCTATTTGCTTTTCATTTGGTTCTCATTTTTTGGTTGCTTCCTTTCAGCAAGTTGCGGCTTGCCGGTCACATTGGAGGCTCTTGAGCCAGACCCTATCTTTGGGGCAAGGAGCGGTCGGAAGAGTACTTGTTCGCCCCGCCGAAGCCGCGGCGGCACGAGGGCAAGGTGAACAAAAGGCACGTGGGCACGTGGGCGAGTCGGCTGCCAAAGGCTGCACTTGATCTAGCCGCACCTTTCCCGTGGTCTTCAGGAATCTTCTCAAAGGTGGGCCAAATTCCTGAGACAATGGAATTTGTGTGTTGTTTGAGACAGCCGTGGGTAAAGATAGTGAGGAATCAACCCTTGGATTTGTTCGCGAACATCACCCCAACAGGAAGTTTGCTTGGACATGACCCAGCCAGTGATGTTTACATCAGCCAAAACAAGAATATACTGAGGGGCTTTTGGTATGCTTTGCGCCTGTTTCGCCGTGTGTTGGTTTGCAGCATCCACTTCAGGTAGTGCATGGGCCGTACGCGATCTCTATAGAAAGGCCTGCCAGACTTTTGCCCTTGTTTGTTTTTTGCGCTAGATCCCCCAGTAGGGCTCTTTTACCCTTTTACCGTATCTTTTTTGGGGGGAGGGTTCGGGACCCTACTAAAATAGACAGAAAAAAAATGGTACCCTTATTCTAACCTCTGTACTGGAGGACCTGGTTAGGGGCTTCCTTTGCTTTTCCTTTGACCCAGCTACTTTTTGGGCTCTGGACAAGCTAAGGTGTAGGTGGAAGCTCCCGGACGGAGCGAATGGGAACCCTGGATTCATGGACCACCGGTTGATTCACAGGGGCGGCGTCTTTGGTTGGGGGTTCAGACAACTTTTGGAGGGGAACATCCCCGAATGGACAGGTTGATTACTTTTCCTGTACCCGAATGTTGTCCGAACCGAACAGAACGATGGTTGCAAGCAGAACAATGGCACAAAAGTACTGGGGGGAGAGTCCTACTTCCCATTCTGTGCCTCAAATTCAACTTTTTCCCGAACCGTGTTTTAAAAAAAAGTGGGTTGGGGGTGGGGGGGAGCGGACCCCCCTGAGGGGACACCGAACTTCGATCATGGAAAAGAACGATGCTATGATACAGAGCGATGTGTGTGGAACAGAACAAACGCTGCATGTAGAACAAAACAATGCATCGTCTGAGGGAACAGAACCCTTTTGCTGAGTGCGATTGAGAAAAGAATGGGTAGAGCAAGGTTAGAATGTTGGATTGGCTTTTCGGGCTTCCATCTTGATTGGCGGGAGACTTTCACTCACTTGCCCAAAGCTGACCTGAAATGACCTATTTGTTTTCCCTGTTGGTCTATTTTGAGTCAAGCTTCCAAAACGTGACATCAACTTTTATGTCTCGGTCCTTTGGGCAAGTTGGGAAGCGAGATTACCCACTGTCATATTCTCTTGAAACGCAACAGACCAGGGGTGGACTTGGCACTGTTTGGGTTTCGGAAATTGTTTGTAAACTGCCAAGTCTTTACGGGTCTATCTGTCTGTTGTTGACTGCACGGGGTTGGTTTTTTGGGAAGGTTCGGAAGCCACTCCTTTGTGAGAGGCTCTCCCCCCATTTTGAGACAGTCGCTTGCATGCAGGGCAATCAGGTAGCATCCGACTGGATTCCCTTAGAATCCATGCAACGGGTCACCCAAAAGAAATGGAGAGTTTTGAGGTTCTGAACGAAGGAACTACGCGAAAGGCACGTCGCCAGGCCACCCACCAGCAAGCTGAAGAAGACTCGCACGGAGGGCGAGCAGGCGAGAGTCTCGCTGTTGACACCTTGGACTCACAGCCTTGTTTGGGGTCTCCTGCCTACCTGTGCTTCAAGGGTTGGTTTCGTTTCCATCCTCTTCGCCCATCGCTTTCTTTGGAATTCACTTTTATGCTACTAGGGGGTTTGCCCATTGTTAGAATGATCCCAGAAGAGAATGGAGAAGGTGCAGCTAGAATGTGTTTTTTAGGCTAACAATGAAAGATACTCTGAACATAGATATGGGCCAAGTTATGTTTTGTTTTCCCGGGGTCTCAGAAAATATACCCAAAACACCTCAAGGTCGACAAAATACAATTGAAAGAATTGAGAACCCTTGCCCAAAGTCTTTTGACATTTCAGTGTCCCACTGTTGGCCCTTTTTGACTCAGGACTCTGAAAGGTTAACCTTTCATTGGTTTCCCTGATTTGGTCCATTTTTCCTCCAAATTCCAAAAGGTCAACCTTTGCTTCTGGGTCTGCTGCTTCTGAGTCTGCTGCTTGTTGTGCGTGGGCCGGTTGCGATTCGGACGCCGGAAACCCCGGCCTGGGTTTGGGGGGTTGGGAGCCGCTTCCTGAAGCTCTGCTGTCGCCAACGATTTGCTCACACCATTCAATCGACGCAACTTGTTCACTGTTCTTGGCATGGGTGTTTTAGTTTGTGCATGGATGTTTCTGTGCATTCAGTGTGGCGGCAAGAAACGATGCCTTTTGCTCACATGCCAAGCAGTGAAAAGTCCCTGTGCTCGGTGGTTCTGGGTGGCTCAGATCAGGATGACTGGGACTTTTGGAAAGGAATGCTCACAGCCACTTCCAATCTGGGGTCGAATTCCGAAAGTAGTTTCTAAACAAACGGGCGTGTCCTACACCTAAAATTGGGCGCCCCGCCCCCCCGTTAAAAAGATTGGGGGGGGACAGAAAACATCCAAAAGGGGTGCTGTTTTTTAGGAAACTTCCATACCTCCTGATGATGAAGTACGTTTACTGTGTCGTCCTTCTGGCTCTTGCTAGAGCAAAGCGGTTTGCTCATGTGAGTAGAATTTGAATATGTCATTTGGAAGCCAAATATCAAGGTTGTGGAACGTGGGCCCAACATCTCCTAGAGTGGGGCATGGGAATCCCAGACTTTGGTATCAGAAGGGCTGCTTCCCATGAATCTCAAGCACAGTCGTGTGAGCGCCTGGCTCCGAGCTTGTTTAACCTCTATAAACCCAAACCGGCGGGGGGAGGGTTTCTCCGAAAATGACAAGGAGACCCTGAGGATAGAGGGAGGGCAGAATTATTTTTGAAAATATATTATTGGCATGAGCCACGGGCATGCATTTGTCTAAAATCAATCTAAAACCAAGGGAAACGACGACGTCTCTGCCCAAAAATGAGAACCCTGGGCTGTATAATAAACCCCATACATGTTGCGTAATATGAGCTTGGCAATTGTACCAGGCTACCGATCTTGCGTAGCCCGCTACAAGTTGTGGATAGTACTATTGCTGGGTGTTACACGTGTGTATGCAGTTGGTAAACAGCCAACAAGGGTACACCAAACTCGGGGTTCCCTTGGAAGTGTATTTTCTATTGCAGTCGGGAAGCGGTTGGTGGCACAGCCTTCCCACTAAGGCTTTGTCTACTTTGGGACATAAAGGGGAATAAATAGTGCCATCTACGTTTTCCCTGGTGTACTGGACTTTCCTGCGCGCGATCTGATTCTCTCCAGCATGATATTTTATGTCCCACTTTCGCTTGGCTCGCGAGGTACAGGGTTTTTCTTTCAGGTAGGTGGGTAGACCATACACAGGAGCAGACAAGTCAGAACAACCGGCTGCGAGTGCTCATGGTGTGGACGCTCGATTGTTTTAGCGTCATTACTTGAGGTAACCCACTTTTTGGGTGAAGGTGCAGCCTTGGAATTCACCAAGCGCCGCCGCCCTTGTTCCCTTGTTCGGCTTTTGAAGGCAACTTCCAACAAGCATCTCAGGGAGCCCTGACAGGGTTGCTTTGAGCTTCTAAGGCATCATCAACCACTGGCCTAGGTAATTGGCATGGTCTTCTGGGTTTCCCTTCGCGGGCCAAATATCTACAGTGCCAGAGTCTTTAAAACAAATCTGCTCGGGATTAGCGGACTCATACTGTTTCGCGGCCTGCGGCGACATGGATTCGCCAGAAAGGAGTGATGAGGCGCGCCGCGCCTGCTCTGCACCTTGTTTTTTGTTTGGCATGGGCTTTCTTTGAACGCAACCAATACGTGGTGGTTCGCAGCCATCCCTTAGCGTTTTAGCCTTTTAGTGTGTAGTGGTAGTTTCCATTTAACCAAAAGTTGAACTTTTAGCGGGGGATCCGAAAACGGGCAGCCCAGAATAGAGGGCGCCTCTTTTCCCCATAGCTACTGGGCCTCTGAGCATGTCATCCGCTGAGTGCAAGATGTTGGCCGGGCGAATGTCATGATCCGCGCTCATTGGCTTGCCCCGATTTACTAGAAAACACGCACTCCATTTGGGTACATGCAAAAGAGCAGATGTATTTGTATACATATATATATATACTATACATCCAGTTCTCCAAAGCGGACCTTTTGACCTTGTTGTTTCCCATCTCAGTCCAAGTCACGAAAGGTTAACCTTTTCAGCTCAAAACTCTCGTCATATTTCTGCTTGGGTCTGGTCGGCGGGGGTCTGTGAGCGAGCGAGCTGGCCCGCTGCACCGAACACGTTTTTTTTAAGGCCCTGTTTGGAAAAACACATGTTTGTCATAGCAAGTTCCTGCCTTTTTGAGTCAGGAATCTGAGTCATACCCTTTAATGCAAAAGAAGTATTTGGAATAGGAGTGCTGATGAACTGACGGAAGTCCATGGCATAAATCTGGGCAAGTGAAGTCCCGATTTCAAGCATGTTTTGGTTTGCGGCCTGCATGGTTTGCATTCCTTACTTGGGGGTCCCCAAACACCAGGTTGGTGCAAGAAAGGCTCGCCCAGAGTCAATGAGCACATTTCGACTCCAGTGCGTTCTCCTGAGCTGAGTTCCACAGAAGTTATTGAGGCCAAGCAATTCTCGGAGCTTTTCTCCGATCTCCATGTCTCGGTTGCTCTCTGCACAGCTGCTGGAATGGTTTTTGATCCAGGACGGAGCCCCCTGGTTGGATTGTTGTCCGGTTTTTTTGGGGGGAAAGAGGGGGAGGGGGAGGGGGGTGCAAGTCATGTTCGAGGCAAGCCAGGTCCCGTTTAGAGAGACCCCCCCAGCTACCGGGGCCGGCATCCATGTTGCCACGGCTTTCTGACTCCGACTTCAGGTCAAACGCACCTCAGACCTCCAGTTAGGGTTCCCTTTCAACTCAAAGTCATGGTTCTTCGCATGTTTTGCTTATTAGTATTTTATTGCTTTGGTTCGGTGGTGTGCATTGCTAGTGGGCTGCAGGAAACAGAGTTGTTTGCTACCACGCCAGGATTGGGGAAGACCAAACAAATTGCTGGCGCCCGCTGTTCAAGTGGAGATCTGGGGAAGGAAACCCGGTTGTTCATCGTTAGTCACTAGGGGTTTTCTGGGGAAGGGATCCCCTTTTCCTGGGGTCTCCTCCAATAGTCTGCCATCTTGGGTAGACAAAGTACGGGCGGATTGGGTGTCACATCTGTTCTGTGCCCCAAAATGTGGGAGCCACGACCTAAGAAAGTCACGGATCTCCGGAAAAAAAAAAAAAAAAAAAAAAAAAAAAAAAACTCGGAGCCCACAAATCCCCCATGCGCAGGAACCAGTGAGCGGCTCCACGGATACGGAGGCAGAGGCGAGATATCGCGTTGGACGATGTGAGCTTCGATCAAAATGACGAGCTCTGAATGTCCATGTCCTTCGGGGAAACAAGTTATGACCATGACCATGGTGAGTTGTTTGTTTTTTTCCCGAACCGCTGAAGGCTATGGGGTCTCCGCCAAATAGGCTGTGGGGTGGTTTGGGACGGCTTTCAGGGAGGGTACACAAGGAGGGTTCCAGGGTATTCCAGAGCTGTTGGGGATACCACCTGGGCTTATTGAGGTGTTTTAATTTGTTGTTCTGGCTTCAATCGGAGAACATGTTGAAACTGGGGTTCAAATATGTGAATTGGGGTTGTCTTGTATATCCCCGTGCAGTCAAGTGTCTTGGGCTGGGTTTGAGTTACATTGGATTTTCAAGAGGAAATGCAAAAGATGGAACCCCACCCCTCAGGACGTGTCTTGAAAACGCTACATTGAGAATGTCACGTACAGATGTTCAATTTTGATCCCAGGTGCGAGAGCCTCATGTACTGAGTATGCCCCATAAAGTTTTCTGTTTGGGTGCCAGGCGGTTCGGTCAATGACTTGGAGCATGCAGGCTCGGGTGTGGGTTCTGGAGGAATGGGTTATGGTTCGTAGATATATATATATATATATACAACATGAGCTTTTCAGACAATGTACACCGCTATCACGAGGGGTGCAGAATCTGCATGCCTCCAAAGCCTGGCCTGAGAGCATGTCCTTGAACCTGTCCTGAGAGCATGTCCTGGAACATGTAATTTTGGCCTTGCCCTGTTTTGGGAGGACGCCCGTTTTGGTCGGTTCTCACGGGAAATCAAAAGGAAGCCGTTCTCATGATCTGGTAAAATGGCTGATCAGTTTCTCAGTATGTGTTCTTCACTTTGCGAAAAACAGCAGTGCCCACCCAGTATTGACTTTAGAGGGATCGATGACATTTTGCCTTGCATTTGCGAGAACAAGAACGTGCGGCTAGCCTTGCTGCAAAGCGTGCCGCATTCTTACACCTCCTTCATGATGCCAGCAGGCCACGCCCTAGGCTAGGCTTTTTGGGGAATCCTTCTTTGGGTATGCGTATGAGGGAAACCTGAAAGGACACCATTGCCACGTGTTTTCCTAATTCGGAGGCAACCCCACATGAAGGACAAACTTTCTATATAGGAGGGTGCAACATTTGTCTGAACCAGAGAAGGACAAAAAAAACAATGCGAACACGAAGGGATTCAACCTCCGAGTCTGGGGCCATGTCCTTTGCACACCGATTTCCTGAGGGAATTCCCTCACCATTCAGACTATTGGGACTTTCCTATTTTTTTTCGCATCTAGATGTGGTGACTTCCATTTCTTTCATGGGCCAAAGAGGGGCCGAATGCCTCCCTGAAACTCTCCCCCCCCGCTTTCGAACCAGGACTTGGAGCTGCGGAGCCGATTTCACCGCGCGGCCACGGAGAAGTCCTCCTGGGGCCGCAGCTGGGCTTCCGTTTCGGGGGGGGGCACCCAGACACCCGGCGCTGGGCGTTCTTCACGTTGGGCTGTGGAGCAGCACCGTTGTGGTTGATCCCAGTTTGGGTGGGATTGGGTGAACTCACCACCCAAATTTTAGAACCTATTTTAGGTGGGAATTGGGATGTTCACTGGGGGTACGATTTGGATTTTGAGTTTGACATGGCTGTGGATCCAAAATACCCAACATGGAACCCAGGTAAATGGCATGGGCTAAAGACTGCTGCTTTCTGGTGGTCTCATTTTGACCCCGTTTGGTTCCCTGCTTGTTTTGTTTTGCAGTGGTGCGATTCTGCTCATTAGCCGGGGGGCGGGGCTGCAAAAAACTTGCTGCTGCCTGGAGAGTTGTCCCTTTAAATGCAACTACCAGAAGAGACACGTTTTTTCTCAATGGCCATTGTTCTGCTTGTGATTATGACTGAGGTTTGCCCCAAAACTTCCATGCGACCAGAAACCTTCAAACATGATAGAACTTGACTTGTCGTAGGAGTTTACAACCCCAAAATTGGTTTGAACTCCATTGAAACTGGGTCCTCAACGAAGTCGGGTTCTCCTTCACCGAATTCCATCTGGGTCAACCTTAATGATAGCCTGAAACTCATTACCCACTTTGAAAGTGGCCTGAAAATTGCAAAAGGGGGTCCGCGCCATTTGATGAGTTGGGTTTTACAACCACTGTTCGGAAGAAACAAAACACCCAGGTAAGTAACAGTTTAACCATGTCAAAGTGAGCTTTAGTGGAACGGTATTTTTTTAACCAAGCGATGGATGCACTCAACTGCCTGTTCCCGCCTTTTTGTTCAGCACTCTCCAAAGTTTGCCAAGGTGTGTTGGCAGAGGCCAAACCCCATTATGCGGGGTTTGGCACAAGCATTTGTTTCCTTCCAATCTCTCACTTTTGGGGCATTTCTTTGTGGTGACCTTTCTGGGGTTGCCGGGCAACAAACAGATTTGGCGGAAGGCTCTGGTTGGGCGCTCCAGCTCGATTTGTCTAGTGCAATCAGGGGTCGGACTCAACCCGCCCCCAATCAACCAGTTTGGGGCTGTTACCCCGATGTTCATTGACCTCAAAGGCCAGGTTAAAGCATACACCTGCAAGTGTGGAGCAGGCCACAAGTGACTCAAATTCCTAAGCATGCCTTTTTTTCTGTGAGCAATGTGTCTCTGCCAGGTTTGGTCCCTGGGCGTCATCATGTTCCCTGAGCAAACCGATCAGTTTGCTTCTCTGAAATCTCCCACTGAGGGTCGCGGCTGTTTTTGGGCCCGTGAGGAATTGCTCGAGGTTCTCCATTGGTCTGCATTGGAGGGGTCATGGCCCTTAGGGCACAAGCAACTTTTTTTTTGGGACCGTCTCCGCCCTGACTCTTCTTTGGGGGAGAGTTCCCCTATTAAAGCAGACTACAGCAAAAAGTTGGTACCCTTATTCCCACCCTTTTTACATCTGGAGGACCTCGATGTAGAAATCTGCTTGGATTCGCCATATTTTTTCGCCCGTCTCCGCCCTTTTTCGTTTCCTCGGCTGCGGCTCGGGTTTTCGGGCCTCCGAGATCTCCCGGGCCACCGGCGGCTCCGGGGCCACGGCAGCGTGCCGGCGCATAAGCAGGGCCCCAGGATCCACGTGCACTGGCCCAAGGCGCGGTCGCTCGAGTTCCAGCGGCGCAAACATCGTGAATTTCCTGCGTCACAAGTATTGTTTCTCTGCTGGTTGGTGTTCTAGAGTTATTTTTTGTTGTTGAGTTGTTGTTTGTTTTCTGCTGTTTGGGTTCTAGAGTTGTTTGTTTTTGTGCTTGAGTTGTTGTTTAGGTTTTTGGGGGTCTGTTTATTGTTAGTGGGGGTGCGAAAAATCAAAGGAAGAAATGCGTGCGTGTATTATATAAATATAGATGTATGTATGGGCATATATTTTTCCGAGTACGTATAGAGACGTGTTCCTTGGCTTAAGACCTATACATACAACATATGACTTATGAAAGGGTTACGCCTTGCAGGTTCCACTGAAGCTTCAGGTCCGGAAGAGCCTTGAAGGATCTGTTGGGACCAATCCTTTGGTGCATTTTGCCAAGGGATGTTAGGACTTGAGAACTTGTTGATCCGACTTCGTCGTTTTCCGAACTAAACCACTAAAAGTTAGTCACTTTTGGCAGGCGAGCAGAAAGCAACCGAGAATCCTTGACCCAACCTGGCGCAAGGAATTGCGAACCGTGAGACTCAGTAACCCGTGTTCAGGCACAAGACCGGAGATGTGTCCTGATTTAAGGGACTCGCTTTGGGTTTCTGTGGGAAACCAAGAGGAAACCAGCCATTGGACGGTTCCAAGTCCTGTTCTTGGAAACACACACACACACACCACCAATCGCCCTAAACCCTCCGCTGCTTGCCTTATTGCATTATTCTCCATTCGCCTTTGAACCCGCACTTCTTGCCTTGAAGCACTTCAGACTCCACCTCTGTCTTTTCCGCCCGTCAGCTGGAGCACGAAGTGAGCTTTGTCACCTGTCTTCAAATTGAGCCACCCACTTGGATGCCATGTGCAAAAGAAAGTCCGCTTTCTGTGGACAATGGGCAGCCCAAGGCAAGCTCCAGGGGATTTCTTTCGGGATGTTCCGCCCGGGCCGGCGAACCCCGGCGAACGGAAGGTGCACATCGACTGGGGGCCGGAGTGGCACTACCAATTGGTGCAGGTGCTGCAGTCCAACCAGTACCATCTCAAAGACGAAGGCGAGCTGAGTGGCTTCCGGCGTTGGGGCGGGTTCGTCTGAGATGTGTCTTTAGATCTTAGGCTGAATCATGAAGGGAAGAGGCCAGCATTGCGCAGTCGCCGTTTTGGTTTCTGGGGCAATCAGCTTCAACATGATTTGGAGATTGGGTAGAGAAGTGTGAAGCAGAGTCTGGACATGTTGTTTTTGGTGCACTCCAAAGTTGGGCCACGGGTTGAGTCAACGGGTTGATGAATCTGCGCGATTCCCGAAATGTAAACCCCACACTCCTGCTTACATGGGACAGCCCAAGGAAAATCAAACAGTCAACCAGGTCTTGCTACCATTGAGTGCTTGACATGCATGCTTACGCAGGGGAGGTGGGCAACCCTGTGGTGAGTGGTCAACTGCTCGGAATTGTAATTTGGTCAACTGGGCCAATATTTGTTTTCCTTGTTTTGGGCGTCTGTTGCTCCTGGTCTCTATGCATGGACAATGTCACTGGTTGCTTTCATCCCCATGGTGCTTCCAATTGACCTTGTTGGTTGCCTTTGCGTTCTAGGTAGCAGCATCACCTGTGTATCAGCATCGCTTTGTGGTTTGCGCGTCCTGTTTGGAGTTCGCACGCTCGCCTTTTCCTGTGTTTGTTTCTGTCAGCAAGTTTGGCGTGCCTGACAGCCCCTCGGAGTTTTAATGGCATGCTCAAAGCCGAAGAAAACACTCCCAACTCACGCATAGTTGTTAACGAGGTGCGGGTCAATATCCACCCTTGGGGGTAAAAGGCTTTTGAAACAAAGGCCGTTACATGAACATCCTTTGGTTGACTAGCTGGGGGATGGGGCCTGGGTGGAATTCAAACTTTACATCGTCAGCAACAAGCCTTTTTCACACCAAGCTAGACTTGCGAAAAGCCTTAACGTTAAAGCAGCACATTTCTGCATCCTCAATGGAACAGTCATGGTCTTCCCGAAACATCCATTCAGCAGGACCTTCTCAAACCCAGCAGCAAACAATGCTAGCCAGGACGAATGTGCGTGGTTTTTCGCCTGCCAAATTTCACGGCGTTTCACAGTCTTTCACTGCAAAAAAAGGCGTTCACGCCAATTTCACTGCATTTTCACGCTTTTCCCTTGTCGATGTCCCATTGCTTCTAGAAATCCCATAAAGTCCAAGACCTTGAGCATTGAACAGCTTGAACATGTCTACATGGTTTTCTCGCAACTTTGGAAAGCGTACGTTTCAGCCACAAGCACTACAAAGCCATGTGGCTACTAATGCGGCCAAAGAGAACACGGTCAACCCACCTAAAAGCGTCCGGCTTGCAAACAAAGAGCTTTCCCCACATTTCACGGCCGCTTCCTAAAGGCCTTTCTTTTTAAGGCCCCCGAACCCCAGGGTCCAAGTGAACTTTTCTTTGGGATTCGGACCGGTGTCGAATTTACCATAGGATGTGAATTGAATGGGTGTTCAGTGATACCAAGAGCAAATCACAACAAGCTCACAAGGGGTTCAAGTGCACTCCCACGCGCGTCCGTTTCATGCGGGCTCCTTCTGTCCGGTTCGCGACTCGTGTGCCCTAGGAAGTTCCACTTTAACTAACTTGGGGGGGTAGTTGGCTAGGAGGTAGTTAGACATACCATGATTTGAGGTTCCTTCCGTTCAGAGGGCCATCCACCATCCGCAGGCAAGCAGTTCCGAGTGGAGGATTGCAAGGGACATCGCTTCAAGGCGCAGAGCAAGCACAGCCAGGACCCGCACAGAGCTTCGGTCCGTGGTGGGTGCGTTTGTGCGGGGACGGTTGGTTGCTAAAGGGAAGCCAAAAGGAAGACAGCCATTTTGAGGGTGCCCCCCCCTCTGGCAGCCCTGGATAAAACCTGCGAGTCTGTGAATCTCTCAACTGAATTCCTCGATGTCCGCCTTGGCTTTGGGGTCATAGACAAGACTTGAAGGGTCGATTTCTACATGGCAGTTTTGTCGCACCAATTCCAAGAAAAGGATATGCAGCCTGATACAGTATCAAGGTATATCAAGATGGGGTTGATGGTAGGAAGGTACATATTGCATATTGCGCTTAGGTTGACATTAGTTGGGTCCGACTTTCTGGGTACAAGTCTCCACCAAAAGGATCCTCAGTTGTAGGACAACGGGCAACATGTGGTCGGTTTGGGTGGATCGGTTTCTGGTGTGTATGGAGGGGCAAGATGGACTGGACAAGAATCCATTGCGGTACAGGAGGACAACAGTTGTTCAGCAAGTTCCACCCAGATCCCCGCGTTTGTTTGGGTGGGGGTTCCCCCTAAAAAAGTAATAAGCCTCAAACAAAGATCCCCTTTTTCTCTCAGTGTCTTTTTGTCCTCGCCTTTTTTGTGTAGTACAACTGTGGGCAAAGCTCGCCCCGTGACGGAACCCCTTACTCGGGCTTCCTTATGCCCAGTTGAGCGAGCAAAACCCCACCAAAGGGTTTAATTTTACGAGGTTCTACCTGGTTCAGTTGGGATTCTAGTAAGGTTTTAGAACCAGCTTGGAAGAGCCCAAATTCAGCCCTAGTTTCAGGCACTCAGTTGTGAACTTGAGAGGGCTGGGCTTTCTTATCGCCTTTTGCCCCTTTTTTTGGGAGGCCCCCTTTTCTTCTTTGGCTTTCCTCCACTTAAAGCAGGATCCGACCAAAAAGGGTGCCCATGTTGCTACCGAGTTGAGATATGTTCACGGCTGCCTGGGGTTCCAGGACTTGATCCTTGGGGGTTGGCCCATGGTGGATCTTCAAAAACGCTTGGCTGCGAGTATAAATACGGAGCCGCAAAAGGGGTTGGTGGATATGAATCCCGTATCCACAAAGAAGTCCCCACTGAACATCTCAGCCATTCGTAGAATTTAGGTTCGCCAATCCACCCAGGAAAGTCGTGACGTGTGTGTGTGTGTGTGGTTTTGGTGTGTTTCTAAGAGGAAACCCAAGGGAAAAACCCCGATTTTGAGGGGTCCCCTTCTTTTGACACATACCCATGCTTCATGGTGAAAGACCAGTTTGCTTGGCATGATGAGACCCTTACAGCATGCCCAGTTGCCGAGTGGATTGATATCACCCGTTTCCTGTAAAATCATTGACCCCCAAAATCGCTGCCCTGCCGGATCCCACAGAACTCCACTGGGCCGAGGAAGTAAGGTCTTCACCGTTTGAGCCACGTGCTCCAAACCCGGGGATAGATGAAGGTTAGTAAGGGCCAATCCCAGCCATAAATACCTGCGGATATCCGGCTTCTGAGCTCTTGAAGCATGGCTCTGGGTTCACCATTATAATACCGGGTTTGGATTCTGACTCAAGTGTTTATTTTCGAAAACAGATAGACCTTAACTGTTTGGGAATTCAAGGGGTTTTCCACTACACCCCCAAAAAAAGTTCAACTTTTTGCAGGGGGGGCGTTGCAGCAACCAAGGCATTTGCACTCCGACAGGACCGGAGCCTTTTCCCATTGACCCTCTACCTCCGCAAGAGCCGACCCGCGTGGCAGGACCGGGAAATGGGCGAAGGATGCGACTCATGGTCCTTTTGGTTTATTTGTTTGAGCTGGGTGTGGCTCAAGATTAAACAGGAGGGGTTGCGCAGGTTTTGGTCCATGTTTCCACTTACCCGGGTTCCATTTCGGTACCGGTTTTTTGAGCCACCGCCAGCTGTGGTCCTTTTGGTTGGCTACTATAGTATATACGTATATATATATATATATGTATATACCGGCAAATGGAATAGCTGTGCTTACCTACCAATGGTCGCCCAGTTATTCCTGAACCCATTGGTTGATCAAGGCGGGGAGTCCTTCACTTTTGAGTTTGTACTCGTTTTGCATCAGAATCTCTTAGCCTTAGTTGAATCTGATTGGGGGGTCCCATTCTAGATACCATTGGCTCACTTGGGGAAATGACCCCCTAGCCCAAACCAAACCTGGCCGGAACGCCATCCCTTGTTTGGTCCGGGCATCTTCTGCGTTTAGGGGGTCTGCACCTTTTTCTGATGATGGTTTTGCACCCATCAGGATTTCTGCCTGGCGAAGGATTGACCGACTCTATCTTTCGGTTGTTTCCATGTTGGGAAACCAAAAAATATGGACCACCCCAGTGGGCTCACAACTTTGATGCCATGAATGCACAAACAGCAAGAACCTGACGAATCCTAATCGAGGTTTCTTACGTTTACGGCCAGAGCTTGCAGAGTAAGCCATTGCGTGTTGTGGTTTAAGCGACTACAGGAGGCGTGGTCAACAGTTCTTGGTTTCCCGACATAGAGCCAACTGAACAAACGATTGGGATTTCCATGGACACCAGCTTTGGGTAAATCTGGTGTGGCCCGGATCTTGGAAATCACAATGCAAAGAGGCGTCTCACATGTTCGAGGAATCGAAATATGATTCCAGCTTGTTTGGAAATTGGATGACCTTCCGGACAAACCAGGAGGACAGCAGACATTTTCATGGGTTCCAATTGGGCCTGTCTTTGTTAGGTTGCCTCTTTTGTGTGGTTTCAAAGGGAAACTAAAAGAAATACCACCATTTGGCCGGGGCGTCCCCTTTAAAATGTATTCCCAATTAAGCATTTATGCCAAAAAGAGTTGCCTTTAGACAATGACTCATTGGCGGCAAAAAGCCCGTGCCACCTGTCCCAAAGATGGAGAAACACGTGCGAGCATCCATTATGTTGGGTCTCTGTCATTGACGGGATCAAAAACAGCCGCTTGCTGGATTTGTCTCAAAACCAGGTATTTTCCACATTGGGGAGGAGGGGGGGGGCGCTTTCTGTTGGCGTATTGCTTTGGCGCATTGGTAAGTATGAAGAATGTTGCAGGGAAACCACAAGGAAAACCGCGGCCAAGCACTCCCAAGTTTACATGGACGCCTAAAAGTGTTCCGGATTTCGTTTGGGGGAAAGGACCCCTTGTTAGGATTCCTTTTATTGCCTTGCAGGAGTGCAAGAGGGGAAAAGTTCGATTGAGAGGGGTCCCCCACCTATTTCTGCTGATTGGGCCGGGGCATGTCAAGAGCATGCTGTTGGTTGCTTCCAAAAGGGGGTGTAACCCAACTGATCAAAGGGCACAAAGTCTTTGCAGGGCAAACTCGAAAAGCCTGACAAGGACAAAAAGCCTTGGCCATCATTTCGATGTGTCCTGTTTTGAGTCTGCTCTTTGTGGGCTCGTTCAAAGAGATTCCAAAGGAAACGCACCTGCTTCTTTGGCCCCCAAAAATTAAAGGGCCGGATAACCCCACAAGTCTATGCTTATTGAAGTATGCGACACTTGCATCTGCCGAGCAGCGAATAATCCCAAATCCGAGACATGCAAAGACCCTCACATGCAAAACCTTCACGCAGTCAGCTATGTCGAAAACTCTCAGCACTTTGTTTTTCGCTCTGGCAGATCGAGGGGTCGCATTGGCATCGCCAATGGCATATGTCAGCGGCATATGTTTAACATATGGCTTGAAGTGCCATCGCGTCAGGCGCAGCATGTATCTGCCAGCCTGGCCCCATGCATCCTGCGCTGTAAGGCGCTAAGTACTTCAAGACGAAAGCCTTCCAAGAGCGGAACCCCATTTCTGCGGGCTTCTTTGCATTGCAGCTGGTTCTACAAGCGTATATAGGTCGCTCCCGCGACCGCAGATGCAAGCAACTTCCAAATCATCCACGCGTCCGAATCTTTCGATTGGGGTGTCCTGAAGTGCGGCTCGATGATGTGTTCTGGCACGGCTGCAAATGCTGCCATTTAGACAGCATGCCAAAGGCTGCCCCTGCCAAGCAAACACACGCTCAGATGCACAGAATGCTGCGCCTGCCACGACTTCGGCAACGGCATCTCCAAAGTGCTGCGCCTGTCACGATTTCGCGCGCCCCGAGCCGCGCGCGCGACAACATCCCAGCCCTTTAGACAGCTGCCAAATGCTGCCCCTGCCACGCAAACACACACTCAGATGCACAGAATGCTGCGCCTGCCACGACTTCGGCAATGGCATCTCCAAAGTGCTGCGCCTGCCACGATTTCGCGCGCCCCGAGCCGCGCGCGCGACAACATCCCATCCCTTTAGACAGCTGCCAAATGCTGCCCCTGCCACGCAAACACACACTCAGATGCACAAAATGCTGCGCCTGCCACGACTTCGGCAATGGCATCTCCAAAGTGCTGCGCCTGCCACGATTTCGCAAGCCCCGAGCCGCGCGTGCGACAACATCCCAGCCCTTTAGACAGCTGCCAAATGCTGCCCCTGCCACGCAAACACACACTCAGATGCACAGAATACTGCGCCTGCCACGACTTCGGCATCTCCAAAGTGCTGCGCGTGCCACGATTTCGCGAGCCCCGAGCCGCGCGCGCGACAACATCCCCCCTTTAGACAGCTGCCAAATGCTGCCCCTGCCACGCAAACACACACTCAGATGCACAGAATGCTGCGCCTGCCACGACTTCGGCAATGGCATCTCCAAAGTGCTGCGCCTGCCACGATTTCGCGAGCCCCGAGCCGCGCGCGCGACAACATCCCAGCCCTTTAGACAGCTGCCAAATGCTGCCCCTGCCACGCAAACACACACTCAGATGCACAGAATGCTGCGCCTGCCACGACTTCGGCAATGGCATCTCCAAAGTGCTGCGCCTGCCACGATTTCGCGAGCCCCGAGCCGCGCGCGCGACAACATCCCAGCCCTTTAGACAGCTGCCAAATGCGAGCCCCGAGCCGCGCGCGCGACAACATCCCAGCCCTTTAGACAGCTGCCAAATGCTGCCCCTGCCACGCAAACACACACTCAGATGCACAGAATGCTGCGCCTGCCACGACTTCGGCAATGGCATCTCCAAAGTGCTGCACCTGCCACGATTTCGCGAGCCCCGAGCCGCGCTCGGCAATGGCAACCAAAGTGCTGCGCCTGCCACGATTTCCCGAGCCCCGAGCCGCGCGCGCGACAACATCCCAGCCCTTTAGACAGCTGCCAAAGGCTGCCCCTGCCACGCAAACACACACTCAGATGCACAGAATGCTGCGCCTGCCACGACTTCGGCAATGGCATCTCCAAAGTGCTGCGCCTGCCCTGATTTCGCGAGCCCCGAGCCGCGCGCGCGACAACATCCCAGCCCTTTAGACAGCTGCCAAATGCTGCCCCTGCCACGCAAACACACACTCAGATGCACAGAATGCTGCGCCTGCCACGACTTCGCCAATGGCATCTTCAAAGTGCTGCTGCTGCTGCCACGATTTCGCGAGCCCCGAGCCGCGCGCGCGACAACATCCCAGCCCTTTAGACAGCTGCCAAATGCTGCCCCTGCCACGCAAACACACACTCAGATGCACAGAATGCTGCGCCTGCCACAACTTCGGCAATGGCATCTCCAAAGTGCTGCGCCTGCCACGAATTCGCGAGCCCCGAGCCGCGCGCGCGACAACATCCCAGCCCTTTAGACTGCTGCCAAATGCTTTCCCTGCCACGCAAACACACGCTCAGATGCACAGAATGCTGCGCCTGCCACGACTTCGGCAACGGCATCTCCAAAGTGCTGCGCCTGCCACGATTTCGCGAGCCCCGAGCCGCGCGCGCGATAACACCCCAGCCCTTTAAACAGCTCCCAAATGCTGCCCCTGTGAGTGAGTGAGTGAGTGAGTGAGTGAGTGAGTGAGTGAGTGTGAGTGAGTGTGAGTGAGTGAGTGAGTGTGTGTGAGTGAGTGTGGGAGTGAGTGTGTGTGAGTGAGTGTGTGTGAGTGAGTGTGTGTGTGTGTGAGTCAGTGTGTGTGAGTGAGTGTGTGTGAGTGAGTGACTGTGAGTGAGTGAGTGAGTGAGTGTGAGTGAGTGAGTGAGTGAGTGAGTGAGTGAGTGTGTGTGAGTGAGTGTGTGTGAGTGAGTGTGTGTGAGTGAGTGTGAGACAGTGAGTGTGAGTGAGTGGGCGGCGGGGGCGGCGGGGCGGGCGGCGGACGGCGGGGCCGGACGGCGGACGGCGGGCGGCGGGCGCGGAGCGGTAAAAGTAAGAACCCCACACAAAGATGTGGGGAAATAAACACCCCCATTTCTTGGACAGTTCAACGTGGGGCACAAAATCCTAATAGCTGAAAGTCTGAACATCTTCATGGCTTACCTTTCCCCTGCTAAGATTTGTTTTTTCCAACCATTCCCCCCCTAAGACCTGTTCCCCTTTCCATCCCCTTGGCTGCAAAAGGACTGTGGGCACTTGGTGGCGTGCAACGCGGGCCACACCACCACCACGCCGCTGGAGCCGGGGAAGCCCGGGAAGCCCTGGCGCCTGCGGCCCCTGCATGAGGCGGTGGAAGGGGTGACCTTTGTTGTTTTGACTGTTTCAAAGCCTGCAAACTGGGTGTTTCCCTTTCACCTATGGCTTAGGGCTGACTGTAAGGGTGGTAAATTAATGAGGACAGGTATACGAAACAACGCGTGGCCTCCCTAACCTACTTGTTGAGTTGCGCTAAATAGCATATGTTAATTCAATTTCGAAAGGAAACCCAAGAAAAGGCGGACTCCCCAAAACGCCCCAGTTTGCGGGCGTTTTCATCGTTGCCAAGGTCGTTGAGCCGAACAACTCGAACGGTGGCCCAAAGGGGCCATCAACACTGGTGGCGGTTTCCTTTATTAAAACTTCCCAAAACGTACCTCAAAAGCGACACCCGCGTTTTGCAGCCATGGGACTGAGGAAGGCGGAAGGCTGATGGGAATCTGCCAAACTTCATGGGCACTGGAGTAATAAACCACTGGTCAATATGATTACGGGTGTCCCCTTTTAGTGGGGATTCAGGCCACTTTTGGAGGGACCAACTTGGCTGCGTTTTGCATGTTGGTTGTTTTCAACATTACTTGTTTTTAGCTGTAATTGTTCCTGTACTGTTTTTGTCGGATTCTGCGAAGTGGTCTTATAGGTTTGTCATGATGAATGTCAATCGAGCTTTTGGTGTTCCATGGACTTGGAGAAGCTTCCCACTGTGAAACCGCCTAACTCCCATGGACCATAGAGCATCTAAACCTCATACACTGCTTGCCTCATTCACCCTAGTGAGCCTCCAAGATGACCATCTTGTTGGTTCTATGTGGGTGTGGGTCAATATTCAGCCACCAGGAATTGGACCGCAGATTTTGGTCCATGTTTCCATTTGCCAGGGTTAGATGTTGGGTACCTATTTCTGACCCCCAGCTATGTCTTCTCCTGGACTGGCAGAGTCACACGCCAGAAGACTCAGACGTGAAACCCGGGAAACCTACCTCTGGAGCGATCGTTCCCTTCTAACTGTCAAGGAAGTGATTTTCATTCCGCTCGAACCCCAAGAATCGCCCAGACCTGGTGAGTGGTGACCTCTTTCAACTTCTTTTGGTGGCCGTGTCCCTTTAAAGTCAAGTACCGAAAAAGAATGCCTCTCTCTTCCCTGGCCACTGTGCAACAAGTCTCGGATGGGATGGCTACCTCCAAACCATCCCGGCTCAAAATGGGCTGAGGATGAATCTCTCTGGTTTGGTGGTGCTTTGGGAATCCAGGGGGTGTCAATTGGGAAGCAAGGATAGGAATTGCACAAGTCATGATGAGCTCCCCGTGTGTGTTGTTTGTCTTTAATATGGTTGGTGGATGAAAGTATTTAGTTCAGATTCAATTTCCATCCCGCCAGGAGGGTCAACCCAATCCTGGAGCGCAAGAATCGATCCCCATCGTTTGTTTGTTCCATTTTCTGGGTGCTTTTCTTAAGTGCGAGAGGGAAGGCAAAGTGGGGGGGGGCTCCCCACTTTTTTAGATTTGTCCTTTTTCCACCTATGGAAAGACTCGGGTCCATGTTGAACTGCTCAGCACTCTCGAAACTTTGCCTCAGACAAACACAGGAATGCTAGCCTCAGCCATCAGAAGAAAGGTCCGGTCGCTGAGGAAATCTGCAGTAAGACCTAGTCCCTGAGTTGGACTTTCGCCTTCTGAGACCTTTCAGAAAACGGAACACGCGGTAGAAAACAGTGGCCAAAGCTTGGGGGGGGCGGGGGCGGATCATCCACGGAAGCAATCAGATGTGTGGGCCACGGAAAGGGGGTGGGAGCACAGGCCACCTGGCCCTTGGCGAAGAACATCCCGCCCAGAAGCGCGCGGACCTCGGGTGTCAGCGGACGCTCCAATGCCGGGCTCATCAACCCGATCCCTTGATACTGTGGATGGTTGCGAGAATTCCATGCAACGCACCCGTTCAGAAACCCTGGAATGATTCCATCCCCCTATAGAACCAACAAACAAGAGTTTTTCCTGGTTTCAAAGTGGTGCAGGATTTCGTCCATCCACAGTAGTATGTAATTTGGTTGGTTGATTGCATGAAAGATCAATCAGGAACCGTTCTGGGATCAATCATGGAACCGTTCTAGTTGTTCGGCATGGAATCCTGGAGACAATGGGAATCAACCAGACCCACAAGATTGGGCTCATTCTTCACGCCATTCAGATTAATAAACTGATAGAGTTTCATGGGGGTGCAACCCATGTCAGATCGGATCACCGAGCAATTTCTCCCAAGTACTCCATTTGTAATCCCCCGGTATTCTTTTGCTGAAATCGAAGACTTCCCCAGCTTCCGGACTTGAACTGTTTGGCTTAAATGTTTGTTTTACCCAGTGGAACCAGGCGTTCCCAGACGCGATCTGCATCCCCATTTTAAATGGTGATGTGTCACAATAGGGACCTCAAAGAAGGGTGGCTTTCCATTTGGTTTTCCTTTTTGCACCAGAGGTTTTTGTTACTCAAGCCGGTGTCTTAATTTTCTCAACCAGGTTTTTTTTGGTCGTCCACCGGGTTTTCCCATCCCGCCACTCGCGACCCACCGGGCCCCTGAGGCGCACATGGCCACCAAGTGGGCGCAGCGAGGCTTCCTGGTGGATCAGCTGCTGGACGCGCTGCAGAGGCGCTCGATCCGAGTTTGAGAGCCGAGAGCTTCAGCAAATCATGGCGGTGTGGAGCAAAGGAGAAAATCGGCCAAGGAGTTGGTTTAAAGATGTTGAAACAGCTATCGTTGAAACAAAACATCTGGTGTCATTTATTGAAACCGCTATCTAAGATGTTGAAACAGCTGTTGAAGCAAGCTTCTGTTGGTATTTATTGTATATAGATACGCACACAATCATGTTGTTGAGGTTCATTCCTTGAAAAAGACAAACAAAAGCATAGCTTCACCTTTTCGTCCACCAAATTCGGCAAATGAAAGCCCATATCCCCGCAATGCCCACGTTTTCTGCCAACCAACAAAGGCACAGAGAAACCCCAATCCCAAAAAGAAAATCCATCTCTCAAAAGCAATCCAAGCCCCTTGTCAAAGGATCCCCCCACCCGCCCCTTCTTGTCAACCCACGTTTTGTTAGCCCTACGTCCACTAAGAAGCGCTTCACCTTTTAAGAACACACAGGGGCCATGTGCAAGAAACCGAACTCCCCACGTTGCGCGTCAAAAGCCCCACCTTGCGCGCAGGTCATCCACCTGCGAATGCGGGAATCGCGGCATAGGCGGGCTTGCAGCCACCGAATTGGGACATGGTCCACAAAGATATATGAGTTTGTTTACTCTTTTGTTTTAGGCAAGGGGGCCTCTTTTGTTTCCACCCAACATTGTTGAAATTGAACCCCCACGGCAAAACACACAATTGGAGGAATCGGGGGACTTCTTTTCTTGGATTCCTGAGTGGCTGTACACACTAAACAAGTTGGCCTATGTAGCCAATGTGTAAGACGGACTCCTCCAAACAGCCCTCATGTTTGCTCAGGTTCGACCTTATAAAGACAACTCTGTGCAACTCTGGAACTGTTGAAAGCATCATCCAGAGATTCCATTTACCTACATAGACAACCAAGGGGTCCCAGCCTTTTAACACCAAAAGGAGAAAGAGTCGAAGGATTGCGATAGTACCCGGGATCTGCGCTTTGCAAGATTCCTGTACAGGTTGGGATTGGGACTGGAAACTCATATAAGGAACCTCTTCGAGAAATCACGGAAAAGTTGGCTTCTTCACTGTTGTCATTCATGTTTCGTGGACTGCAAAACATGTTTTTTGCTGACCTGCCAGGGTTTGGGACATAAACATCAAAAGTCCAGCGGTGACAAATTCATTTGCTCGGTTGTCGCAGGGGAGGACTCGCCGAGCCGTTCCATGAAGGAGCGGGGAATGGGGGGCTCGGCCAAGCGAAGGTTCGCTTGATTTGATCCTGAGCCAAGGAGCCATTGGGCTATGTTTAAGTCTGCGTAAGGGCCTCGGATAGATGAAAAGCCCTTAAAAGGATGGCAGTCTACAGACAAACATCTGGGGATGTGTGTAAATACTCAAGTTACATGCGAACGGTTGAGAACGAAATGGTTGATTGGGGGTTTTCTGTGTGATCGCCGCTCATTTCGGAGGTGCCTTTGAGAAATGCGCTTCCTAACGAGATGTGTCACTCGACGTCGGCGACATTTGCTCGGCAGTGTTAAAATGAATGGCAACTGCGCATGAATCAACCCATCCTACTTGCACAAATAGGGGGTGACCCACGAAAGTGAAGGATGCGCACTAAAAGAGGACACCCCCCTAATCATCAACCAGGGTTTGCCGATTAAATTGATCCTTGACTCAGGTTCCATGTCCCTGCTACCGAGCTGTGGGGGATACACGAGGTTTTCAAGTGCACAAGTTTCGGGCACATACCCCAGGGGCAAGCGGATTTCTTCCCTTGATTTAAGCTAGCACTTCGAGTTACTGTTCAACAGAGGCACAGATGAAGGAGCGGTTACCCTTGGCCACTTCTTGTGGACCCTGCCAAAAGGCAAGGATTATTATGGGTCGACAAACATTTCTAGGATGATAGAAAGGCAAATAAGGCTCAACATTTAGGAGGTCTTTGAGGGAGTTGGAAGCGTTTCTGCTCGAAGTAGATGCTCCTGCAAGCCTCCACATGCATACGATTGCCAAAGCACGAGCTAGTTTTGCGGCGGTGCCCATGTTCCTTTCTGATGTTTGGCTCCATGTAGAACTAGCCAACCGAAAAGCTAGAGCTTACCGAGCAAGGGGGTCCTCATGAATGGAATCCATCCATCCATTCATCCGTCCGTCCATGTACAGCGGAGGAATTCCCTCTCTAGATTTGTATCCTTCATGCGTTTCTCTTGCAAGGGGCAACATTGGTTTCGTCCCGGCATGTCACCTACATTGCCGAGATGCCTGTCCCAGGAGGGCATGCAAGCGATTCAGAACCACCAGATCGACCACCAGAATGTAACTTGGGCAGAAGCGATTCAGCTAATGCTTGAACCCAAAGTTCATACCCCCCGCCTGCAGAGACAAAGCTCATACGTAACTCCCCTCCAGTTGACAGGGCTTGTTCCATCTTATGCTCAATCCTTCCCAACAGGGTTTTTTGTTCCATGCCACCGTCTAATTCCGGCTCCTTTGAGGCCAGTTCAGTAGGTTTCCGAGAGTGGAAGAAACGCAGGAAGGATGCATTTGGGGGATGGTAAACCTAGGTTTCAGATTCTGCCCGTTTGATTCTTCACCATGGGGCTTGGGTAGACCCCTCGGTAGCAGGTTTTGAATGTCATTCAATGAAGTATCTGATGGAATGGCGGCATAACAAACATGCTTTGGTGTACGTTCGACTCCTAAAGTTTGTTGGTGGAAGAGTAGGTTTAAGAGAATTATTGTGTACGCCCCCAGATTGCCTTCCTGGGTGAACCGACCTTACCCCCGCTCGAAGGGCACTTTGAATGACCTCAGGCTGCAAGGGGCTACCCTGGCTTATGGCTCGGAACTCATCGGATGTTTCCTTTTCAGAGGAAATGGGGTTAAACCAGGACTGGTCAGGTTCCATGTCTGGTGGCAAGGTACCAAAAAAACAAAACGCAGTTGTGTTGAGCTAGCTGTACCTGGACTTTGGTGTGGCGTGTCAGTTTCCGGGCACCGGGATATGAAGTGCCATTCTGCGTCGGCTCGTCCAGGAGACTGGCCTTTCAAATGCCGAAGGAATGAAGCCTAGAGCCCATGGTCCTTCTGTGGTTAATTCTGAGTTCTCAGTTGTTGGGCGACGGATACTGGCTGACCCCTGCGTGGTTCATACCCTAAAACACATGAGGACAGCCTCTGAAAATTCGCTGCAAAACCAGGACGGAACCCTAATTTTGGGGGACCGTGGTCAACAGGCCTGCTTACCTTGGCTTATGGTAGTGGATCCGTGGAAAATGTAGACCACCATATCCCATCTAAGAGAACCTGTGCCCAGCTTGGGCCATGGCTCCTGGCGTCCCGTCCCTCGGCGCGGGGGTTCGAGCGAGGTGGGGCACCGCTGCCCCCCGCCGCGGTGCCAACATTGCGCCGGGGTCTGCGACTGCCTCTGGAAGAGCGACATGGCGCTGCTCATCGTGGCTCGACTTCCCGAAGGGCCGCTTCGGATTCTGGGCTCTCCGGAGCTTTTTTTTGCCCATGGCCCTAGTGGCTCAGAAAATGCAGAAAATCATAAGTTGGCCAGCCTCTAGCCTAAGCATCTTGGCATCATTTATTGGGTATATAAGACGGTATACATATATATATATATATATATATATATCAGGGTTACCTGCCCAAGCAGTCCACAGTTGAGCCCAGAAAAATTAGGATCTGTTGTGTTGGAGGGAAAAAGGGAACTTCACAGTTCGTTGCGTGTTTGCTAGTCTTTTAGTTTGTTGATTGTTGGTTCCGTTCATTGTTAGTCGGGAGCTGCCAAAAGCAGCCAGTTTGTTGCTGCCACACCAAGGTTGGAAGAAGCGAACAATCCCTTCTTGACTGGACAGCAAGAAAATCAGATAGACTTGAGTTGTGAGTTGGGGTGGTGTTTAGACGGGCACCCCTTCCGGTGGATGGTGACCAACCTAGTCTGAGTTAACCTAAATGAATCATAGCTTGTTATACTTATTCCTCCACTCAGAAGCCAAGCTGGCACGTTGCGCTCTTGATATTCACAAAGGCTCTACATGGTTCACGACATAGCCTACTCACTCTCAAGTTTCTGACTTTGCTCTTGCAGCAAACCCAGACTTTGTGATCAATTTGAGTGGGTCTATATTGCCAAGCCTCCCTTGCCTTGCGACTCCTCAGAGCCGAATCTTATTGGACGGCTATAGAAGTGCGGGGGATCCATTGGAAACGTATTACAACCTCAAGCAAAGACCGCATGCCGCAGACCGTGGATAGGGTTAAACAATAGAGGACCCCGAATTTTGGCGTTCCTTTGAACCACCGGCCAAAAGTCCAAAATTTTGAGCAAAGCCCCCCCGGGGAAGTAAGTCAGGAAAGCAAAGCAAAGCAATTGGCCCCATCCTTGGGTGACCTTTTTCCGCGACATGTGTGAATCGCAAGGCACGGACAAAGACACCTTTCTTGGGAGCCCTAACTGGGATCTAGCTGCACAAATGATTGTCCTTTGGCGCAAGCAAACCCGTATATCAGAAGACGTTTTGGGCACGCACCAAGTGGAGGAGGTGGGGTGGTGCTGTTGGGTGGTGTCCCTGCGAGTTTTCCAATTTATTTGAAGCTGTTAGCTAGTGTCAACGTTTGGTACCATAAATCTTTGCGAAGAATGATGGTGATAGCAAATATTAGGGTTGAAAGTTGACAGTTCACCTTTCTTGGATGTTTTACAGGGGAACAAAAGGACACCCCACCCAAAATTGGAGGGTCCAAATCCCTATTTCTCAGACAAGCAACCCCATTTTTCACCAGTGATTCTACCCCTTCGAAGAATTTCCGGTGGGGAAACCACTCCCTTCGGCCAGGAAGAGCGCGCGGATGTGAACGGCTCCAGCTGGCGGGGGGTCACACCTCTGCTGCTGGCCTCCGGCCATGGCCACGTGCCCGGGGCCTTGGATTTGCCGAGTTCGTGGAGATCGGTGCTTGGAGGGGCGGGGAGGGAGGGAGGGGGGCGGGGGGGAGGGGGAGATGGGGGAGAGCGGGGGAGGGGGGGAGGCGGGGAAGGAAGGGGGGGAGGACTATGTGGTTGTTGTTTTGGGGACATGTTGCATCTTTGCTGATTGTGGTTTAGTGGTTGAAATTTTTCACTGCACTGCTAAGATTTGAAGATTTTTGCTCCCCTTCCAACGCCCTTTCTTCCCATGGCCACTGAAGCTCTGGAAAAAGAAAACATTTTTGGGGGCCGTCTACTTGGGAACCATACCGTGCGAAGTCCTAGGGATGCCAAATGGTTCATTCGCCCCCCTCAAACACTTCCCTGAGAACCACAAAGTATTGCAAAACCAGCCAGGGTTCCCAAATAGGTTGTTTACCCCTGGGCAGACTTAAGCGCAGGGGATCTGAATTTGCCGAAAAGGGAAACCCCTGGCTTTAAGTACCTTGGGGTAGTCAGCAAGCGAAACTCTGAAACCAACAGGATTTCCGTTTTGGAAAGCCGACAGGGTTCCGACTCCATTTCTCCCTGACTTTCCTGTTCGATGTGCAAACCTCAAGCGTTGGATTGCCAGACTTCTTCACGTTTGTCCAGGGCCAGCAAGTGTGAAGTCGGCAGGACGGTTGTCATTGCCAGACTCAGCTTGCATTTTATCTGTGTGCCGTGTTTAGATACATTTTCCAGGGTAAACTATAGTGACGTCGCTGGGGTTGCGTAACAATTCCTTCAGAGGGATCCCTTATGTTCGGTCCTTGATTTATAATAGCTTGCCCATATTATCTGTTTCTTTGCATTAATGTGGCCCAGTTCAAAGTCGAGTTATTAACAGCGCTTCTTGGTGGATGCTGTCATTATTCAAAGCACTGCCCTTTGTTGACAGTTCACGGTTTGTTTGAAAATCGAGTTGGACCCCCCTGAATATTCATGTGAAGACAGATGTCCTTTTCTTGCAACCGATTAGCTGGCCGAGTGCTTGTTTTCTTCTCCCGCGGACCAAACCAGCACTGCTCCGCGAGAAAGAAACAGCACCCGCAGATAGACCTGTCATAGTTGTATGATGCACGCGTACATACGCGTACACTTTCAATTTTCCCTGGGTAGTGGCTTGATGGCCCCATTTTGGGGGTAGGGGCTTGAGAGTGACCCCATTTTTAGGGCTCCCCGGTGAAAAAGTCTGTGGAGCAGGCGGGTCGTCACCTTCTTCCTCGCCCTGAACGCCGACCCCCTGCAGAGCGCTGCGGCTCGGCCGCGCAAAAAAAACAACGAATGGCTGAGGTGGCTATGGGTCAAAACCCCGCACCCCCCAGTGAACATCACAATCCCCGCTGAAACAGACTAAAATGGGTGGTGCACCTACCCCAAAATGGTACCACTGCTGTTGACCCACGGCCAGGTGGGAATGCGTCGCTTGGATTCTCTGTAGGGAATCCACCAGGGTTTTGGGAATGACTTAGGGTGCCTTCTCCCGCCCGAGATTGGCTGAACTCGGAAATCCATGAGTGTTCTTCGACTTGTCAAGGGCATTTGCAGGTAGGGGCTTTGGAGGTATGCATGCTCATGTACCAGCAGTATAAGCTTGAAACTCTGCATGTACCCACTAAGTGCCTGTAAAACCCATACCTGAAAATGCCCTTGGCATTGATTGGGTGACAAATTGAAAAATGGCGTGAGGCGAGTGAACTTGTCAATAGAAAGGTCTGTCACCTTACCATGAAAGATTCCGCCCAATGCCATACGAAGCAAGGGCTTCATTGCTGCCAACAACGCGATGAGGCCTGGATCGGAACCATCCACAATATTGTAAATGCGTGCAAAGGGTTTCTAATGGACCTCACGTCATGTTTGACATTCCTGAGTCGTAATGAGAACCTGATATTAAAAGGGTTTAGCCAAAACCATGTTCAGATATCCGCCCCTTTTCATTAGGACTCTCCAGCAAGTGGCTGACATGTCCGTGCCCTGCGGGCTTGCGCGGCTCGGATTTGATGCCTAGGATCCTGAAGGCTGGACACCTCTGCACGAGGCGCTTCGGGAGCAGCCCCCAAGTCACCCCGAATGGGGACCTCCAACAAGATGTTGGATTTTGGGATTGACTGAATATGTATTTTGTGTTACTCTGACGTGGGCCGAGAGATGGTGTTTGATGGAAGTCTCCAATCTGGGTCAGCAAGTGGGGGCTTGCGTCTTTGCCCTTGATGAAGATGAAGAATCAGGTTTCGATCCTAGGCTGAGGCCTCAATCTTGGGAACCCAATGCCAAGAATCAGGCGCTCAAATCCTTGTTTTGGTAGAACTTGACCAAAACGAACAGGGCGCCGGGGGGGGGGGGTAGCGGGGGCAGACAATCCGGATCACCTTTGCATGATTGCAGGAGTTTCACTCCCCAACCCGCCAGGTTCATCAAGCCGGGGGTCGACAAGCGTGTCCTGCGTCCTAGCCTGATCGGAATCGTAGTGAGGTCCCGTCTCTGGGCGGTTGTTGAAAGTGGGCAAAGCGGTTTCAAACATCTGGACAAAGACTACTCGCCCAGTTCGTGTTTCTCAGGGGACCTAAACAGGGTCTAACAAACAGGCTCCGGCAAAGGCCGTGTAGCATCCGAAAGAAACTCATTTGTTGGAACCCATTCGGGTCACCCAGGTTTCTTTCCCCTCGGCACGCCCCCTCCTTCGCCCAGCGTTGGTGGACGTCCAAAGAGTTGCTGCGAGGACACCTTTTGGCCAAGAATCTGTGGTACCACCTTTAGCTGCTGATCCTCCATTTTCTGAGTTGTGTTTTTTTTGTTTCCCCTGTGGATTTTGAAGGGAATCTACAGGGACAAACGCACAAATGGGAGTGAAGAGGATCCCCAAGCTGGGAGATTTCTGGGGACCCCTTGCCATCCGCAGGCTGCGCGGCTGAACCGCGCGGGCACCTGCGACGCCTTGCTGGAGGCTTGCGAGGACCAGCGGGCGCCCGGCTCAGTCTGGGACGATCCAACTCGCAGCCATTGCGCAGGGCCACGTGGTGTCCTCCTTTTGGTTGGGAAGGGTTTCCCTGTGAAGGTGAATTCAACCCAAGAAAGGCTGCCTTGACACATGCCAAGGACCGTTTTGGGGATTTGTGTTTTTGGGTGTTGGGAGGGTATGGGTTGTACACACGCTGTGTATGTGGTAAAAAGTATTCATACCTCCAGAATCCATCCCCCAAGATGCCCTTGTGAGTGTAAACAGAGGATGTTGTCTTGTTGCTCGGTGCACATGGGATATCAACGGCAAGTTGTTGCCGTGGGGTCTGCAGTGCTCGGACGGCAGGCAAGCTTGCTTCTCTGGTCGCCCCTCAACTCAACAACTCAAATAGAGTTTAAATGTTGTTTTTTTTTGCAGGACTGTACCGGCAGGGCGGCTTGGTTCGCCGAAGAAAAGTTAAACCCTGGTTGATACAAAAGGACGTGTCTCAGTACAGGGGGGATCCTTCACTTCAAAGTGTCCATTGTTCCTGTTGGTTCTTTTCAAAAAAATCTATTGTGACAAGGAATTGCTAGGCAAACCCAGCAAGGTAGTTGTTGGTCCAAATCGCGGTTACCTTTGCAAGGAGAGGTTTTGTTGTGTGAAGGGGGGCTTTGGCACGTTATGCGGCTCAACATACCGCAAGCCTTTGCGAGCCGTGGCGGGAGCCACAAGTTCCCTGTTGGTTGGTTCACTTTGACCATGCTTTTCAGGCTTCCATGTATCTTCTCACGTCTTCCCTTTTGGGTGGTACTTTGACAATTGTTTTTCCATATTTTTTCAGAATTCCAGCTGTTCTTTGCATGTGTTTCCCCACCCGGAAGGTTTGGGGTTGTTGGATTGTAAGTGACAGCCGGCCATCAGACAGCTGCGACACAGCCTATGACAGACCAAGAAACGGGCGGACCAGGACGGCCGTGACAGGCCGAAGCCTGAGGCTCCCGGTGGCCGGACCAGCGCAGGCAGAACTGCGCCTGCACTTTCTTTCGACCCATGCATTTCGAGTTGGACTATGGGTCCTATTAATTGCAGTGCGAGAGCGCTGTATAAGAAATCGGTTGGTTGAGGCCAAGGGAGGCTGAATTGCTTACCGCCCATGTCGTCTTCAATGGCTTGTTTTACCCCTCTAGAGCCAGGAAAGGCTCGCTTCCGAGTGCGTGCGGGGCCTGAAGAAAGCAGCGTGCTGTTGCCTGATGCAACAGCGAAGAAACTCAGCCGAACCAAAATGGAAGCCAGGCGGCATCGTTGACCCCTCACCAACCCTCAGCTGCGACCACAATCACGTTCTCTGTCTGATTCCCCAAGTCCAAGGGACCAGTGAAGCTCCTGCAAGGACACATCATCTGCTTTTTGTGGCGCCTGTGTGGTTGCAGTCTAGCTCAGTCAGACGAATTTCTTAGGTGGGAACTGTTCGAAGGTGTCCTTATTTCATGTCTTGGATCTGTTCATTGCTAGTTGGGGGGGGGCCGCAAAAATGTGGCATTCTGCATTGGAAAGCATGGTGGTGAAGTGATGTTGTCCTTCGCTGGGCCATTGGGTGAGGCACTGCTGGAAGCACGGTGCCAGCGCCGGGAAGCGTGCGCCCGGGAGGAATGCAAGGTGTCGTGAAACGAGAAGCTGCCAAATTGTTATCTTGTAGAGAACCCAAATGAATTGACATGTGTATATACATTTATAATATATATATATATGTATATGTGTCATATGTTGCACAAAAACAAGTGGCTAGGGGCACTTTGTAATCATATACATATGTATATACAGATGTGTATGTACATACTTAGGGCGTGTGGTTTTGCCCACGGGCTCTGGGCAAGCTATGACGAACTCATCTGGGGGATAAAGCGCAGACTCCTGCCTTTTTGAAATGCTGGCAGCAATCCACCCTGGCACCCTGGTTTTTGGTTGAATTCTCCTGTGTTCGTGGCTGGTTATTTTGTGGGAAACCAGCAACTTTTGAGCACAACATCGCCCCTGTCGAATCAGTTTTAGACCCAGCCCCAGCTTTGAGAGTGCCACTTTTTCACCAAATGGCCATTCGACGGGCCAGGTACTTCCATCAGACCACCGCTGTTTTGGTGGCGGCCGAGGGCCGCCTCGAGTCCCTGCAGGCCCCTGGGTGAACGGACAATCCCCAGGCGTTTTGTCTGATTTGCTGTCGAGGACCGTTCATATTATGCAAGATAGGTAAAAACGCTGAGTCGTGTGGGTTCGCCAGCGTGCAAGGGCCCCTAAAGGCCCATGCCACAGACTAAAACGAGAATCATCCAGTTTTGTTTTTTTAAGGCTTCCCTTTTTCCACCAGGGTCACTGGGCAAGTGTGTTTGTCAACAGCCCATTGGGGGTGCCTCGTCTTCTTGCATGTGCCTGCCTTGTTTCGTTGTTTTGTTTCTCACCCCTCTTTGTTCAATCCTTCCAAGCACATTCGGTTTGGTTTGCTTGGTTTCCTTCCAGGTTCTACTCAAAGGAAACCAAATGTCTATTGAGTTTCCCGGGTTGCCAGTTAACATGTCCTCCAACTCGTAGCGATCAATTTGGTAATGGGAGCACCCCTTGCCGTGGAAGGCTACGCAACTTGTTTGTCTTTCTCTTGGAGGGAGTTCCCTGCAAAATCAACTACTCACTCCCTGATACTTCAGTTTATCGCAAAGACCATGTTGAATCTTAATGCTAAAAAACAAGTTGAGCCGTTTTGGCCAATCCACTCAAAAAGATAAGACTGCAAACAACAAAAACGGGTGCCCCTTTTCCCCACGGAACTCTGCGTCGCAAAAGCGCCCAGCCGGAAAAACGCCAGGTGCTGATCAAGTACAAGGCCAACCTCGATGCCCGCCGAGAGGAGCCCCACCGAGCAAAGTCAAGCGGGTGTTGGGGGGCTGCTTACCTGGGTGTGCGGTTCTGCGTATTTTATAGCGATCCCACCGACTCGGGGTACAGCGAAACGTCCTTTACCTTGGGGATGCCTTAATTCAGCTTTTGGAATTATTGCCAATTTTGCAGGTGGTTGTTTTTGGGAAATAGGGTCAGATGGCCATGCTCTGCAACATCCTTGTAAAGCGAGTAAGTAGTCATAGTGATGGCTCACGGCAGAACAGACTGTTGCGCGGGTTAAAGGGAATCCGGGGCAGAGCGCCACTCATGTTGGGCCCCGGATTTTGGCACATGACTCATGACCCCCGAATCCGGCGTCTCTCTATGTGTGTCTTCTCCGTGGTTGCGGTTCACCACATTGGTTTCTCGCTAGATGGGATCTACTATGGTTTCCAATTGATCTTATTCATTTTTTCTGTCCATCCTTGGTTTCACAGGCAAGGTCGGGGACATCTACGTCTTGGGGGGTGTCCCTTGTTCATCTGCGGCGCGAAAGGCTAATTTGCTCGTCTCTAAGAGTTTCTCAGAGAAGCTCAGGTCGTGCTCCACTTTGCCAAGTACCACTTGCTAGCAACACATGATTTCAGCTTTGGCAGAGTGTGGAATTTGACCCGTTTTGGCCGATGGAACAAAGGGCCTTCCCTGAATTCGGGCTTTGCGCATTTGGAGGGCCCCTTTCTTTCCCGAAAGGTCCAAGGTTATCGTGAACCCTAGACCCTAGCTTTGGCAGGCTGGCTCGTCCTTGCTTTTGCGCATTGCCAGCTGCAGGATGGCAATACGCCACTGATGTTGGCAACTGCCGGAGGGTACTACGAGGCAGGACTGAGCTATCGACCCTCGCAAGTGCCTGGAGAACAGACACCTCATGGGGTGTCCTTGAACCAAAAGCCGAAATGTTGGTCAATTCGGGCTTATGGTGAGGGAGCAATGACCCTTGCAAACGTTTTGCAATAATCCTTCATAAGGAAAACCAGAAGGAAGCCAGCCACCCGCAGAGAATTTCGAGCCCGGCACCTAACTTGAGTAACCAAAACCGCCAATGGCCGTTTTTAGCAAGGAATTCTACTCCTCGGACCCCTTGCCGATTTCTTGTTCTTTGCATTTTCATCTTCTTTGAGTTTGGGCCAGACTCAAATATATGTTTTTAGTTGGCGGGCAAGAGTTTAGTTGTAGTCAGGCCTACACAAACCCTGGCCAGCTCAAGAAATGGCCGACCATTCAGTTTTTGAGTTCCCTCGTTGGCCCAATTCTAGTCAAGGTACCAAAAGTATACCCCAACTAACATGAAAATTGATCTTCCAGGACCCTCCCACATGCGCCATGTTGGGAGGAAGGGTAAGGCATGATTTCCAGGTCCCTTAGCTTGCTGGTGCCCATCAGGGAATGAGGGAATGAACCCAGGAATTGGTCCCCTTGAAGGAAACCACCAATTGGATGGTTTATAGGGGTCATTCCAACTCATTCCCTCGACTGCTCCTGGGTCGGATCTTTCGACTTTAACTTTTTCAAGGACTTTTCCACTGAACTCCAAACAAAAGTGAAACTTTTTGCAGGGGGTCAACAGCAACCAAGTTCTCTGCCTATCGCACCAGCAACTTAGAGCAAAGTTTGGGCGCTGCTCCCAGGTGTGCCGCCTGCTCCTCTCCAGCGGATGTTTGGTTTGTGGTGGCCTGGGCGGCCGACAGCTCCGGGAAGCCATGGATGCTGGCAGGCGGGAGAGGGGATGCTCAAACTTCAAGCCAAAATAATTAAAAGGAGGTTGTGGTACTCTCAAAACTATATGTTTAGTCATGATGAGAGTGGCCTTCCCGAGAGCTGTTCAAGAGTTAGCACAGTCCAAGTCCACCAAATGGCACACCATCACCAACCCGGACTGGGACGTTACCACCGCCCGGTGGCAGACTTTTCTTTATGTGGTCTGCAAAGGACTGAATACTCCGGTGGTGGCCTGTCACCCAAATCACTGCATCCCATGCCCGGATAGGCTGAGATTTGCGGTGGGGCTCAGATCTTTTGGTGCTGCCCCAGATGGGATAGCATGCGCCACTGGCACAATATTTGGCATCAGTGGCAGAGAGTGGGCCGAGTGGCCTTCTTGCTCCACTCATTGTTTCATATATGTAGTAATGACGCCCCTCCATAAACAAAGAAACATTGGAAAGAGCTACAAGTCGGCGTCCTTACCCTTGTGAGACCTGAGAATCACAATAGTACCCTTTCGTCTCTCGCGTCTTCGCTTCGTGACACTACTCCTTTGGAGGAAACCCACACAAAATGAACAATTTTCGGTTATTCCTTGCGACATCCACTTCAGATGCGATCAATCATGGCTCCTCAGAATCCACCATTTCTCACTGCAAGTGCCTGGCTCTCTTGCGGCTCGCCAGGCGACTACCTTTCTTCAAGGCATGCCTTTGTTGGTGTTCCTTTGATGCCTTGCATATTGTTTCAAACTGTCGCTCGCCCTCGAGCTTCTTGTTCACTGTGTTGCCATGTCGTGAGGTCCCCTTTCTCAAGTCCGTCCTCTCTGTCCGTGGACCTCTTTGTAAGGCTTCCTGGAAACTCAAAATTGTATCTAGGTTGGCAAAAAGGTCATTTCCAATTATGACGTTGTCGCTCCTCCTTCTCCTGCTTATCAGCTGACTCGTATTGAGCCTGGAATTCCCAGGCTTATTATCATGAGACCCCACTCTGTCTTTCATCGGGCCATGCATCTCAGGTGGGAGGCCAATGAAGCATAATATGAACTACAGGGCACTCGCTGCGATCGTTTCCTCCTAACGAACCTCTGATTTGTATATGGACCTCTTACATCGCCATCGGCTGCGTCAAAAAGGTACCGCTGCCACTACTATCACCATTGAATGGCAAGACGCTTCTCCCACTTCTTGTTCCTGCCAAGTGCTTGCGTATATTGCCATTCTTCAGTTTAAGGGCGGGAGAACACCTTGTCCGTTGGGTCTTCATTCGTGACTCGTGTAAACCTTGCGCTGCTGGCACTGTCATGCGTGGATCCCGGCGTGAGAGTATCGCCTCGCATGCTGGTGCTCTGGTTGGCAAGCGCCACCGCTTGACCCTACCACTGCAGCACGCGAAGTGCTTTGTTCACGCCTCCCCCCCTGCTCACTGATGATTTAATTGCCACTCGTATTGGCTCCCTCTCATCCCTCTCCGTTTCACGAATCTTGGCCAAAGTGCCCTTGCTCCAAGAACACATTCGACTGAGCCAGCACAGCAGTCCTGCCCAAGTCTACTTCGGACAGGGTGCACATGGAAGTGGATCAGCCGGGGAGGGACACGCAGGTGCTCTCCTTGAGCAGGTACCGCTCCCAGCAAGCGCATTTGTGACATCAAGATGACGGACCAGCACACTGTATTTGCAGGTGACGTACAGGGCCCTGGCGGCTGCGTGGACCCTTGTAGCGCACATAGTGGAATCAAGCGGCTCAGACTTTCGTTCCAGTCGGCCCAATGTCCAGTTTGCAATCCTTTGCTTTTCAGACCCTCGTGCTCATCGCGCGGCTGTCTATCGCCGATGAGGGGAATATTCATGGTTGGAGATGGGAAGATACTGGCCCGGGCAGGCAGGAATACATTCGGTTTGGGCTGTTTTTGATTTTTTTGTGAAAGCGCGCGAGGGTAACGCGGGGGTGCTCGGTGCTCGTGTTGTTTTTGCTCGTCCGCCAGGCCGAAGGGAGGCTGCCGCCTGAAGTGCCGGGACAAGCTGCATTTGCCGCTGCGCTTCTCGGGCGAAACCTTTGAGCTGCCCCGTGAGGCATTAGGCCCCTCCAATCAGGTTCTTGGAGCGTTCCTAGAAGAGGCCCCTAGCCTTCCAAGAGGGGTCCTTTGAGTTCGTCCCCAACCAACATGTGATGAGCTTTCCCTTGACGTGAGGTAGAATATTTTAACCATGTGTTTCAGGTTCAACGGGTTTTTTGATCTCGTCCTTTTCATCGTTGTGGGCAAATAGTATTTAGCTACTCGGAGCCAAAACCACGGGGTCCTTCAGAGGTTTCCTTATTATGTCGGGTTTCTGAATTATTCCAGACCTCCATGCAGTGTGGGTGTTCTGCGGGTAGAGTTGGTTCCCTTGTATCCACCCCTTGATTCCCTTTGTTCTCACTTTGGTTGCCAACCAAGTTTGAATTCGGGAAAGCTTTCCGCCCCGTTTATTCTTTACCATGAGTTTTGCCTAGACACGTATTCCCTCACCTGTGAAGTGAATCTGATGGAATACCCTCCTGACAAACATTGGAAAGTTGAGGACTATGCCGTTCGTGCATGTGTTGTGATCGCGATGGGTTCAAGCAAATGTGTTCCCGGCATTGCGACACACACACACACACACACCTTCCTTGATTTGGCCCTCACGGCGTTGCTCGAGCTCAGGAAACAAAAAAAGCAAGAGCGCAGCAACTTGGGTGCAAGTTAGCTTGGCATTCTCCTCAGTTGGTGTCCTGCCTTGCAAGCAAAAATCACCCTTTGGTTCCTGTCCAGACCTATGCTAGAGGGGGTAGCGTCCGGAAAGGGAGACTGACCCATGCTGTGCGTGGTTACTACTCCTGGGCGGAAGGAATTTGCGTTCCACATGTACGTGCGGTAGCCCCACGAGTGGGAATGCCAACAGGGAAACTCAGCCTCTATGTCGGAGGTCCTTTGCAAATTCCCTAATTCTGAGATTTGTAGCTAGTGCAGATCTTGTGGCTGGCTTCACACGACCTTATGGGTGTGCTATGTGCTGAGGAAACAAGGGAGACTTGCCCCTGAAAGGGGTGTGTACCAAAGTTTAGGACCCCGATGAACACCGGAACCTCTCTGCCGGGCTTGATTTCAGGAGTTTGTTGCTGGTTTCTTGGAAGGAATCCTGACCCACACCCACAAAGGCGTTCGCAACCCAAGAAGGCCCTCGACATGTAGCCGCATCGATTCAAATCTGGGTCCAACGATGCCGAGTATTTCCGTGGAGATTTCTCACTGGAGGTCTGGGAAATGGTTGGAGCATGATTAAGCTGTCCTGTATACTGATTTGTTGGTGCTCAGCAGAAACAGAGCCCTCGTGTCATCGGAGCCCTGCGGATGGTCGAAATCCGCAATCCGCACCTATCCCAGTACTCAAATCGGGTTTCATCCATTTCAGCTGATGCGAAATAGATTTGCTTGCATCTGCTGCCGGACGTAGCTTGCCTTTGTAACCTATTGCCTTTTTGGTTTTCCACTAGATTTCGGATGCTCCAAGAGCTTCAGCTGGGGAGGTTGGGGGCGGCTTCTGCTGGCGTTGGCGCTGTTTTCAGGGCACCCCTTGGGCACGGTGAAAAAGGGTGGCCAAAGGGACACTAGGCTTTTCTCTTAGGGGTTCTCATTTTGACAAAGCCCCGGTTCTCTTCGTGTTTTGGTTTGTTTCCACTGGCCCTGGCTCCCAAGTTGCCCTTCAGCATGTGCAATGCTGTTTGAGGGAAGTTTGATGAGAAAACCAACATATCAGCTGCTTTTGGGCGGACAATCCACTCAGAAATTGAGGTGTGCGGCACAAAGAAGCCTCAAACACACGTTTTACAACTTTCTCAAAGTGAACAACTTTTGGGGGAGGGCCACGTTTTGTGGGAAGCCAAATGTTTGACCAGAGATTCACCTACTTCGGATGGTTTTTCCTTGGGGTCTCCTCCCAACTACTGAGGGGATGCTGGCGCACGGAGCCCTGGAGCCAAGCGACTGTCCCCCTTCTTTGGTCGCAGAAAGGGGCACGCGCAAAATAATTTCCAGATTCCTACCATTGGGAGGATATCCCCCGTAAATCTGTTCGGCCGTTCAAATCTGTGAATGGTTGATTCCCATCCCCAAGACCATTGGTATCACTTTCTCTTGGTATCGCAGAACACCATGAACATCTTACTGCGCAAATACCATGTTCTGATTCTGAATAATTTGTAGTCTAGCCCAAAAAATAAGCATACAGTAGTTGGGTAGGAGCTCGGTATGGGCTTTCCCTGTGCCCAAATGCCCGGATCTTTGGCATTGGAACGGAGTGTCCCAATCTGGTCAAGTGGGCCACGTAATACGACTGGGGTTGGGGTGCATGTTCACTTAGTCATCAGAGATTTGGAGGTCTGGAAAAGCATGTTCTATTATTCGTGAGACCTTTATTGTGTATTACTTTGGAGTGCTTTTGACCCTTTTAGGACTTGCCTGACTTTGGGTTCCTTTTCAGTCTCGGTTTGGATTTCCACTTTTGTTGAGTTTGTCCGCGTGCCTTTCTGGTGCTAATGCCCGACTGAATCCAATGGGACCAGCTTACATGAAAATATACTATGCTTCCTCGACTATTTGTTTAAATAGGGGTTGTTCAACCCCTATTTTTTGCATTGACAACCCCTATTATTATTATTATTATTATTATTATTATTATTTTTAATATTGGCCTTTGGGGTTCAATTTGGGTTGTTACGTCGTTGTTTTTTGTGTGTTTGTTTTTTTCCCGAAGACTACGCCTGCTACTGCAACCTCTCAAGTAGCCTTGGGAGCCACATATTTCTCTGCCAGCTAAGTAAATTACTATTTCCATTACGATTTCTTGTTGGGGTCCTCGGGTCCTTTTTGTGTTTGCGCAACGGACAGAGGCTTCATTCTAACAAATTGTAGAATTGTCCGCAGGCGGCACGAACAACAAGCATTTGTTTGCTTGCTTTTTCCCGTTCCAATTTTCACACAGGTCCAAAAACAACGTGAGCGTAGACTCACCGTAGAAAAACTGTAAAAACACATGTTGTTGGCGTAGAACCACTATTTTTTGGCGTAGAACCACTATTTTTTGAGGTAGAACCACCATTTTGTGGAATAGAATGGGCAAATTTTGCCGGGGAACCAGAAGATCAACATCCTATCCTGGAATGGTTGCTGTGATGGGAGAGATGTTGGCTGTCCCTTGTTTTTTGGTTTGGCTAAGGGGGTTGGGCCAGAAGAAGGACAGAAATGGTCAGAAGAGGGTTCACCTTCACGCGCTACATGGCCATGCTAAGAAACCTAGCGACATAGAAGCCAACATTAGCCTTGCAAGTGAAGCGTATTGCTGCATGTGCATATACATATTCGGCCTTGGGATCCTATGGAGCGGCCTTAGCCTCAAGTCTTTCCGAGCCCTTGTTCCAGTCCAAAACGGAGGCGGCCGCTCCTCGTCAAAAGATAGTCTTTGTCAAAAAAACGGGGTTGTCACAACGCCTATTTTTTAATAGGCTTTGGAAGCATATGATAGAAAGGTTGCGCCCAATTTTCTCTTGGACACGTGGTGATTTGGGTCCTTCGGCAGCTCAGGCGGCATTCCCTACGGCAGCACCACAACTTTGTGGAGATCGCCCTGCTCCTGGAGTCGTCGCTTGGCGAAAAATCATCGGAACTTGGGATTGGTTGCTTCCCCTGATCTGTCTGATCTTAGTATCAGATCCCCGCAAACGAACCGTTTTGGGCGGTGTTTGGAAGGGAAGCCTGGGAGGTTGTCAACAGAAAATTGACTCTGCAGATTAGCACACACGAAACTAGCCTTAGGACGGGAACTTCTTTTGAGGCTCCATCAAGGATTAAGAAAAATGCAAAGCTGATGGGTGGTGAGAGGAATCTGTTTATGGACTCGGACCGCTCGGGTCTCGTGTCAATCGGGGAAGTACATGTCCTGTTCGTGGGTCAACCCGTTGGTCAAAATTGAGGGCCGCAAACATGTGTCCGACCAGCTTGGACAATTGAATCGCCGTGTTCCAGTGGCTTCTCCTTTTTGATTCAACCAAACCAAGATCGAATTCTGAATCCACAACCTGCCTGCAACAAAACTTAAGCAGAGAGGTGTGTTTGGGGTAGCGTCGGCAGTCAAGAGCATCATGTCAGCCAGCTTCTGGGAGCGTGTCCAGCCCGAACGTTTGCACCATGTCAACCTGAGGTGTGTTAGTAACCCCCTGAATGTACTGGTTGAGATGGCGCCAATCCAATCCTCATGCATTCTTGGCGTCAAAATCATATCATTGTCAGGGGGGCTGCTTTTGCAACATCCTCAGTGGTAGGCGTTTGTGCACAGCAGACATCACCTGGCATTTCTGCATTGGACATGAGCTTGAGCTGTCCGGCCACACCAAGCAAAATGACTCAAAACACTTGAGGTGGTAGAAGCCAAAAAGGAAAGGGAGCCCTTCAGTTTGCCGCCCCTAGTTCGAGCATGAACCCAGCCAACGCATCCTGCCAGACAACTCAGCGCTGTTTGCTTTTGCGTCATTGATCCGCTCCGATGCTCCAAGCTTCCCAGGAAGGGCGTACAGTGAGATCTGCTTGGGCCAACGGGCGCCTGTACAAAAGATGCGGGTCTGCAGCTCTCTATGGGCAATCCGCTTCTCCCGGAACGGAAGCACGCAGCAGAGTGAGCGAGGTTTGGATTGGATGAAAGTAGATGGCACACCTCCTCCACTTTGGTTAAGTAATGCCTGGACTTCCCCTCCAGGGAATTGAGCCGACTACTTTCACCCTGGTGTGAATGAAGAATCGTACTTGAAAAACACATGACCTTCCGGAGACGCATGCTGCAAGATGTGCGCCCAAAGCTGGCTGCGCCGACCTGCCAAAGCTTTGCAGGATGATTGCTTTGCTCGCGTCGGGGCACATTGACTTCCGTTAATTGCGTTAGCAACAGTCAACACCTGGGTAAGTGAAGGTTGGGTTAGTGGGCAGTCCCAACCAAAAATAGGTGCAGACGCAGAATGGTCAAGACCCCTGTAGGAAGATAACAAGCATCATCACGCACGTATCTTTCAACTCCATTGATAGCCTGACTAGGGCCACTTGTTGTTGACATATTTTCGATCAGAAGCAGATGGTGCGGCTATGGTGTTCCACAAGGAGGGCGCCGTTGGGAGATGGCAAACCACGATGCATACTGACCCCGACTGCAGCTCCAAATGACTCTGCAGCCGCAATACGCGGATTGCAGGGCCTCACCGCTAAAGATTCATCAAGGAATTCATCAGCGCGAAGAACAACAAGAGCACAAACAGCTCTGCTGTCAGGACCCGGCAACGATTGAAGCCCTAAAGCATGCCAGGAAGGAATTTGCGGGCATTTGATGAGTACGTAGCACTGCGATCAGTTCATCAAATCTCACTTTCAATCGATTCAATTTACATTTACTTTATTCTTACTCAATTCACTTCCAGCTTTCGGACAAAGGTGCTCAACCCAAAAGTCTGTGGGGCCGATGGGCTGGGTCCACCAAAATGATGTTCTTTCTCAGTTAAGCCTCTAAACTCTACACGATTTGATGGAAAGCCAGCCCCAAAAGTAGTTTCGAAACTCTTCGGCCACTTTGAGGGACCAGCTGGGCTGGGATCTCTTAGCGTGGCCGAAAGCTGGCTCAGGACTTTGGTAAACGATCAAAGGGCACTTCAAAAAGGGAGCCTCAAAAGGGTTCCACCCCCCTTTTCTGCGAGTGTACGAGAAGCCCAACCCGACCCAAAAGATGATACTTAAACCCCCCAAAAAAAACAAGCCCGGGTGCGTGCGGTCGGAGGAACTTGACTGGCAGGTGTTGATGCACAGCCCCCTCTCTCTGCAACTCTTCGAAGAGCTGCGCATGACACCCCCGGCGCGGTGGCCAGAGATTCGCTGTCGTTTTGAGCGCCCGAAACCTGCGGGTCTCATTCAAAACGTTGGTTTTTCGGCACTCGACTTCACTAGCGACCGTTTTTGCAGGCGAAGTACGGCTGGGCGGAAACATGTGGTGGGTAACATCCCGAATTCGGCGCAAACGAGGTAGGACCATGACATGTAATGTGTCATTGGATAGCGCGGGCAATGAGTCCAAAGAGGTGCAGGGTTTTGAGAAGGAGGCGGGAACCCCCGACTATGCATTGTATCAAATATGAAACCGGATCAGAACATCTTCCTTGCTGCCTTGGGCCAGATGGCTTTGCCTCTTTCCATGCTTCCATTTGCTTAAGAATATGTTTTTGTTTTCCCCTGTTGGTTTTAAAGTGAATCTATCACTACTGGACATCTTATAGTTTTTCCTGGGGCCTTAACCAAATGGAAGCATGGGACTGTGTTAGGCAGAAGTGGCCCATGAGTGTTGGGCCAGCGCTCATCTTCTTTGAGTGTCTCAAAGGGGAATCCATCGTGGACGACTTTCAAAGGGAACTCCAAAGGACCCCAGCCACCTGTAGTGGTCCCCCCAAATTTTCAGGGGAGCTGTTTGATTTGTTTCCCACATAATCAAACCGCAAGGTTGTCAGAGGGTACAAGCTGGTGAGTGATTTCCTTTGATTAGCTTTGGTTGGGTTGCCCTGCTGTTTTGAGGTACGTAGGAAGTACCTTTTTTGTTGTCGGGGCACTTTCAAGAGAGCCAACATGTGCATCTTTTGGTTTCCTTTCAATCAACCAACGGGCCCAGATTTGAAAAAGCAGCCATGTCTCCCCACACTTCAGGCATTGTCATCGCAGTGAGGTTTGCACGTCTGACGTGGCTCCCACAGTCGAGGAGGCCGGAGATGTAGATCAGGGGGTAAGTGGGTTCTAAACTTGCATCACATGAGTCGACTGTTGGCATGGCTCCTCAACAACCGGGATACTTCCATATTTTGTCCAAGTCCTTGCGCAAAAACAGTTTGCCTTTTGCCCGACAATGCTTCACGCTTGGCCGAGTGGCCGCCAAGCGCGGCCAGTTGTTTCACTTCGCGCCACGGCGACTTATGCTACCTCCCATGGAACCTGGAATGACCATTACCTACTTGCGGGACATATTGGGGCTACAGGGACACTAATTCTATCTATTTCTCCTAGGAATTGTGGCTGAGCCCTTAGATGAGGCACAGTCAAATTTACGAATTCCCCACGGCGCCTCAGCAATAGGAGAGTCCCATTTGTGTTGTTTCGCATTGTTTGAAGCTTGCCCCCCAAAGTTTGTTTATTTTTCCGCCCCTTTCGCACTTGTTTTGTTTTTTGCTCCGGAAGCTGCAAAACATCCTAACCTCTCACTAGTTGAGGATGCAAATTGGGTGAAGGGGACGCTCAACCCCAATATTTATATTATGGGTGTGGCACAAAATTCAAGAGCTAGGGTTACGCAGGTTACAGTCTTTTGGGTTGCATTTACCCGGGTGCCATTTGGGGACATTGTCTTTGGTGCATTTTGCTTGGATGTTAGGACTTTAACTGTTTGCCAACTCCTGGGTTTTCCATTAAACCACTAAAAGTTATTTTTTTAGCAGGGGAGCAGAAAGCAACCGAGTTTTATCGAGCCAAAGCCTTTTTTGACACAAGTCTTTTCGGCTGCAATTCCCCGAGCTGAGCCCAGCCGCACCTTGCGACAGCTGGAGCAGCGCATCGCGACGCTGCAGCGAGCCGCGGCCGAGTGGGAGCTGAAGCGCCAGGACGGGGAAGCCAAAGAGCTGCTGGTACCTGCCCTCCCACCCTTTTCACATGGAACCTGAGAGGAGTCACAATCAAAACCCGGGGATTGATGAAGGTTAGTAAGGGGCGATCCCGTTGCCATAAATAGCTGCGGCCGCCTTCTTAATTCTTTACATGGTTCTGGGTGAACCATTTTTGTACCGGTTTTGATTATGACTCACAGGGACCTGGTCCTTGAAATGGAGAATGGTCTTCCAGGACCCCAAAACGTCAAAACGTCAGGTTCTATGTTAACTGGTGGGAGGGTACATTAGGTTCGGTGAACGCTTCTAGCACTTTGTGGTCTGAGAGGGTCATGACGACTTATTGTTTTCCCCACAAAACCAAGAGGACCCACCAATTTTGCCACTCATGGAGAGACACCTGGCCACTTTTTCCCCTGCCTCACATCTCAAAGATGCCCCTTGGATGCCAGGTCCCCACCCCATTCTATCAGCTGGATATCGGTATGAAAACGGAAAAAAGAAATAAGCTCGGGCGATATCCCCAACAGCACCACACCCTCCCAGAATCCTCGCGGAACGCCCCGGGACCATCCTTACCGCCGGTGTTGCTGAGGATGCCGCCTTGTAAAGCAAAGCTACGAGTGACAGCGCAATCTCGCCCTGATCGGGGCCCGACGGCGCAATCGGGGCCCGATCGGGGCCCGACAGCGCAATCGGGGCCCGATCAGGGCCCGACGGTGCAATCGGTGCCCGATCGGTGCCCGACAGTGCAATCGGGCCCTGATCGTCCCGTGGTGCAACCCCAGCAACCCATATTATAGCATGCGGATTGCAATTGTATCTACCCAGAGGCTCCTGGGCCCTCCTCGGGAGGGTCCGGGGCCCTCCTAGGGAGGGACCGGCCTGTTTGTCGGATACGGGGCCCTCGTGGGCCCCCAGTGCAATCCGGACGGGATGGATGGAGCCAAAATGGCCTCGAATCACACCTCCCCTAGCATTACTATCCGACGGTTATCCGACGCCGGGCCCTCGTAGACACTCAGTTTTGGGGGCCCCGGCCCAATTATCCGACGATTATCCGACGGCTATCCGACGGCCATCCGACGGTTATCCGACGGATATCCGATGGTAATCCGAAGCTTGTTTGCAGCCCAAAGGCCCCCAACAAAAAAACAGCCCGAAACCTCCTACGACCGCGAGGGCCCGCGAGGGCCCAAGGGCCCGAAACATGAGTTGGGAGCGTCTGGGAGTAGAGTTTCTATTTTGTTTTTTGTGTGTGGCTGCCATGCTTTTTGTGCAGTTGGATTTTTTCTAGGCCTGTCACTGGCCTGCTTGGTCGGGCTGCTGATTCTCTTGAAGTGGGATGTTTGTAGTAGGGCTGTGTGGATGTCGCTTTCTTGGCGCAGTTGCTTTTCTTCAGGGCCTGTCGCTGGCCTGCTTGGTCCGGCTGCTACTTTTCGTGAAGCAATATTTTTCCGAAGGGCTTCTAGTTTGCTTGTTCTGTGTGGCTGGCGTTTTTTTTTGGTTGTTGTGCAGTTGGTTCTTTTCAAGGCCTGTCACTGGCTTGCTTGGTCTGCCTGCTGCTTTTCGTGAAGTGTTTTGTTTCCATTGGGTTTCTTTGTGGCTGCCGCTTTGTTTCTCAGTTGGGTTTTTCTTCAGGGCCTGTCACTGGCCTGCTTGGTCGGCCTGCTGCTTCGAGATTGTTGTTTTTTGCTTGCTGTCTGTGGCTCCCGTTTTTTGGTGAAGTTGGATTTGTTTCAGGGCCTGGCACTGGCCTGCTCGGTCGGGCTGGTGATTTTAGCAAAGTGGGATTTGTTGTAGGGCTTCGAATTTGCTTGTTGTGTTTGAATGCCACTTTTTTGGTGCAGTTGGATTTTGTTCAGGGCCTGTCACTGGCCTGCTTGGTCGGCCTGCTGCTT